TCATAGATTTGATTTGTATTGTGTGTTTTTACTAATGTATTGTGTGTTTTTAATAACAAACTTTCCAAATTCTAAACAAAAACTCTTTAGTTTGATGAAAGTGTAGTCTGGTCAATCATAAATTACACAAACCCTCATCATCAGTGGTCAGCTCATAAAATAGTAAGTCAAATTCATTGTTTTTTACAATATCCGTTTTGGTTCAACCATGATTTTTCACAATAGTACGTAAAATACACCATAGATTTTACAGAAGATAATTGTAGTTATACATCGTTGTAAAGCCCTTTAAATAAGGAAGTTTTTAGTAATATTTGTTAAACTCAGCGGATCTCGGTAACCGAGAAATATATTGTTGAATGTTATTTAAATTTTCGTCGATATTAAAAATAATTGTTAAACGAAGAAATTTAAATGAACTTTTTTCCGTACCCCAACGATTATATGTTATATCTATTTAAAATTTTGTGAGGATTCTGAAAATGACATTTAAATCAACAATTAGTGCATTTTTAACAGAGTAATATAAGCTTTTTTCATAACGACTACAATAATTTTTGAAAAATCTTAATTTATTTGTTATTCCCTAACGGTTGAGGTTGGGAACCTCAAATGTGCGTCATTATGTCGCCACTACCATGTAGTTTGATGCAAAATTTTATTTAACACTTATGACCGGACACCCTGTATATATATATATATGTATAAATAATAGATAATAGATTCTCTTTTATCTACTTGTGCAAAGTTTTGTCTAAACTGACCGTTTTAATGAGGTTAATGGTTAATGGAGTTGACATAGACTCCTCTAATAACAAGACTTAATAACAATATTTTGATTTTTAGTTTGTAATTGGTTTTAAGCCAAAAAGAAACAGCAAGTACAATGTTACATAGGCCTAAATTCACAAAATATGATTTAATGGAAAAAATACCATCATGCAACTATACCTATGTTTATAATGAATGTATATTTCTGAGATGATGTAATAAATAAGTTAACAAACCTTTGAAAAATACAAAACATTTCCAAAAATATATGTTTCAGAAGAAAACCTGCAACTCAACACTTAGGTGTATATTAACTAAAAGATAGCCACTAGATGAGTGATTCACAATTTGTTTGCAGCTTGAATACAATGATTCTATCTGCAAATTAGTACTTGTAGACCTTGTTCAATGTTATCAGCAAGCCACCAATGGTACTTGATTTATAACAATGAGAATCCATCATATGCAGTTGATTAAGAAATGCACATGATGGAGTAAGTTGTAAAGTTGAATTATTAATACTTGTTAATTATATAATTTTACAATAGCAATTGCGAATATCTGGCATTGTTATGTATTTTTTATGAATTTCATTTTTTTTATCCGTCCATTGAATTTGATAAACTAATGAATCTTGTTAAACTGCATAAATGTTGAAATTTTATCAGGGCCGTTGAGAAAATTTTTGGGCCCCTGTGCAACTTACGACCTTGGGCCCCCAACTGGGGAGGGGTCACACTGGGGGTCTAGGGGAACTTTTGAAATTAGACCTGTAAACTCACATTTTTAGGCTATTTACCATATAGAAAAGAGATTTTTTTATTTTAGAAAAAAATTTTATTTGTAAAAAGATCCGGTTTTAAAGTCAAGGGGTGGGGGTTTAAAACAATCAAATTTGTGCAAATCTTACGCAAGTAATACAATTTTTATATATGCTGATTAAGAGCACATTTAAATAAGAAATTACAGAAGTCACAATTTCAAGTTAGTATTGTTTTACTTATTGACAAAAAGTAAAACATTTATCATAAATTATGAAGCTACATAAAAATGTTAAACAAGATAAAAATTTGGAAGCTAAATGTTAAAAAATTAGTCAGGGGAGTGTTCATAATAAAGCAGATGACAAAAAATCCCTGTATTACTCTCACAGGATGATCCTTTTAGCCCTTTTATGTGAAAAATCACTTATTATGTCTTCAAAGTTTATCTTTGAGGCCATTTCTGATTCGATTACTAAAAGGCCTAATGAACTCATTCTCTGTTGGGCCATGGTGGATCTTAAAACACTTTTTATTTTTTTCATCTTGCTAACACTTCTTTCGGCCTCAGCCACAGTAACCGGGATTGTGCAAAAGATTCTCAGGGCTACACAGACATTTGGAAACAAATTAAAAAAAATATATTAAAAAGTCACTGTGGGCACAAGGGGCCTGGGACCCCTTGATGCCCGGGCCCCTAAGCTTGCCCCCCCCCCCCCCCCCCCGTCGATGGCCCTGAATTTGACAGTACAATTTTCTAGCTATTGAATATCAGAATATCAGCAATCAGATCTGACCAAACAATGTTGGTGCTTCAATAACGTATAAAAGTAAGTTAAAAGGTAAAGTTACAAAAAAAGTCAATATTTTCTGTTGCTTGTTTTTATATTAATTTCCAATAAATCTGTACGTATATATCTATTTTTACTTTCTATCTTAATAAATATTTTTATTTGAAATATACCAGATTTGGAGATCTATAAAAATATGAATGTTAAATGAAATAGATGCACCTAATGGGCTTTTTTCCTTTACACCGGTTGTAATAAAAATTGATACAAATAAACAGCATCATACAATAAAACTCCTAAGGCAATACTACAACCTGAAGGTTTTTCACCTTAAATACACCTTACTCCCTCCAAGGGGGGCAGAACTCCTGTTCTAGTGTGCCTGCACTTATCGCCATAGCGAGAGGCGTGGGATAAATATTTACAATATGTGATGTGGAAAGCGAAAAGGAACCTCTTGTCGGGAATTTTTGATTTTAAGTTTTATATATATTTGTATTTGAATTCCTTATTAAATTCCAAATCACTTTGTGCAAGTCCCATGCATCTGAGATTTTTTTTTGTTAAAGTTATAGGACTTTAAAATTTTGTTATGGAAAAGGGTCATTTTGAGAAAAACTATTTTCAAAATTTCAAAAAGCATAAAAACAGTTTTTTTTTTGTATTTAGGAAACAATTTTGGTATCAAAAGAAAGCTTATGATCTTTGGAGGCAATACCAATTTTTGTCTTAACCCACGGTACTTTTAATTCAAATAATAGTTTTATCGGAGCATGTCGTAAAAATCACATTTCAGAAAAGGGACCTCGTCAGTTTTGATGTTTGTTTGTTTTCACGTCCGGTGCCTTTGGATGACTGAAATCTGTCATCGCTTGCTGATTGGTTCCTGGAATCTGGAACCCAACTTCAGCTGTCTCTAGTAGACATTTCTGAATTTCAATATGACTAATCAAATTCATTTTAAATTTAATTGAGTTATTAATCATAGTCTCTGTGAAATTTTGAAAAGTAGGGCACTCTTGACATTGTGGATTGCTAAATTCTTCCACTGTCACACAGAGTTTGTAAAAGCGAGTTGAACGCTCGTATAGCCCAGTGAATGCTGGAATCTCGTAATGAACACGTTCCACACAAAACACACTTACTGTTGTCTGATAGTGGTCTTCAGACCTATCTATCACTGAAGAGACTAAATCAAGTCAATACAACAGAGCACACCTCTATCCCTAAAGGTGGATTGTTGTATTTGACTTGGCGCAGGCTCAATCAATTTTGAGTCCTCAAACCACACATGATACATGGATCGTACATACCCGAGACGGTACGTGTGACAATTCCAATGCTCGGATAGGTCGGGATTTGGTTTTGAAACTTGAAAGATACATTCTGAGTGAATGTAATTCTAAAATTGGCAGGGGGTTTGTCCCCATCTACCTTAAAAAGAGATAACCTGTAAGCGAGCACTAGTCAGAACACACGCAAGCAATGACAGATTTCAGTCATCCAAAGGCACTGGACGTGAAAACAAACAAACATCAAAACTGATGAGTCAATCCACAATAATTTAAGAACAATGAGGGACCTCTTGTCGGCCCTATGTTATTTCTCCATAGGATAGAATAAGGTACCTCTTGTCGGGACCGCAAAATTTGATATTTTGTGAGATATTTTGTTCTCCGTAAACTTTGTCGTAGTTCTCTAAATTTGCATGGGACTTAAGTCCCTGGGTTCAAATCCTGTCAAGTCACCAATGGATTTTATCTAAGTGATAATGCCGCAACCCCTAGGTCTAGCCTGAAGTAATGTGAAAAACAATCCCTAGCTAGTGCCTCGCGTCCTAAAAAAAAAAAAAAAATCTAGAACGCAGTACAACTTATTTTTTGGACTAAAGTCTGTTTATAAAGTGAATATAGAAATGGGTCCTCCTGTCGTTATGGCAAAATAACATTGGGCGACAAGAGTTACTTTTTCTCAGACCGTGCAGAGGCTAACAAAATGATTTATTTTGACCTTCATCTACAATTCGATATTTTAACTGATACTGTCCTGTTCTATGTTAAATGAGGTATACAAATCGATAAAAAAAGAATTTTGATATTTTCTAACTTAATTACTTTATCGGCCTTACTGAAAATTTTGCATCGCCAACAAGAGGTCCCTTTTCGCTTTCCACATCACATATAATGTTTATTAGATTTAAGCAATAAAACAACAAACAATTAATTCGAAATCCATCATTAAAACCTTAATGTTAACTATATCAAATTTATATAGGTACACACTGTAAAAAATCTCAATGTTTTATGTTTTTAGATGTTAAAACAAAACAGTTAAGTTAATAAAAGTTTTTAATTCATGGACTTTGCAGCAGATGCTCTCATTACAATTAGCACAGCACTGTAGTTTTTGGTTCACATTTCGTAGACAAGAATCATATCAAGCATACCCCCCCCCCCCCCACCGAGATATTTTTTTTGGTGGTTCTGTTTGTAGTTGTCTTAAAACCAGCTTTCACCATGTTTTTATGTCTCAATATAGTTTTATAATTTCAATATGTATATGAGTTTCTTGATAAAACTTGATGTGCGTACGATTTCTAAGAAACACATTAATTAGGAGGAGGATAGTGGTAAACATGTTTTAAGGTAACTCATAAACAACAATTGACTTTGACCTGTAAAAATTATTTATTGTAATATAATCAATAATTATTTTATTACGTAATAATAACATTTTCCCTTAACATAAGGTAAGATAAGACAATTACCATTCAACAAGCTAATGAGTGACGAGGTATGAATACAATAAAAAGACAGAAAAAGGCCGTCTTCATATTGACCACATAAATAATTTAAATATATTCTTAGTTTATTGGAAAATTACTTTGATACATTCCAGTTAAGAAAGTTTTTAAGTCTATAAAGAATAAGTAATACACATTAACGGCATAATGAAATTTAAATTCCCAGCAATAAAGTCACATACAATACGTGTTGCTAAAAATCACAAAAAAGTAAAAAACTCACAGGTGGACTATCAGCGATTTTGAAAGACATAACATCCACAGTTCTTATGTAAACTTCCAGTTCCTTCGCTTTCTGCTTTCATAAACTATGTAAAGCAATAATAACATAAAAATAAAATATAATAAAACATCTCTCATAGTCATAAGTAAAGATGATAACATTGTTCAATGATTCAGATAAATATTAACTAGCTGGTGTAGCACACATTGTAATTTATTGTACATTTATATAGCTATCTACAAATCATTACCACACTACATTAAACTTAGGCTTTCGTACCATATGTCATGAGATTGGCGTTTTCACAACTTAACTACAATTTATGCGACTTTAATATCTCTAATCTGTTTGTAAAAATCTTACAAAAAAAGTTTTGATATCAGGGTAACAGTATTTAACATTCATATTTCACAACTATGATTACAATATAGCTTAACTAAGAATTTGCACTTTGCTTTACAAAGAGTGCTAAATATTATGTCTTCTGACTAATCATAGCATGGAAAGATAACGTTTTACTTTTAGATTAAAAATAAATGTCATAGTCTTAGAAAATACATAAATTAATACTGTCGATAGTTACTAACAGTAGTCTTTTGTGAATTAACAAACACAACAGCTAACAACACACAAACATTCATAAATGACTTGGAACTCGTTAAATACCAGGTATCTTAAAAAAAGACTAATTTTATTAATAATAAAATAGGCCCGACAATGGTATACCTTGAAATGAGGATATGGTCCAAAACTAGAACTGTCACCATGATTACCTGCTTTGTTATAATTAAAATTAATAATTTCAATGTCTAAAGTCAGAACAAGATATACCAGTTTATTCACTTTCTTTTAACATCAAATCAAAACAACCTCAATGTAACCATTTTTGTGATGAAAACTGCCTCTAACATACAACAAGATGGATCTTTAAACTTGAAAAACATTAGACTTAAGTGATATCACTTAAGTTACTGCCCAAGCTTGCAGCACCCTAATGGTCTCCGGTGGCACCACCCCAGCAAACTCAAGTTCATCAGGATGTGCCATGCATAAGTGTACCAGTGGATCTGCAGACGACCCATCATTAGTCCAGCGCATTGGACAAGAGAAAGAGTTTGGAAGGGAATGGATGAAGGTTGCATAATAGATCGTTCTGATGTGTATTGTTAGTATGTAGCTGATGAACATTGTCTTGCATAAAAAGACTTAGGAATCGAGATGGAAAAAACTATTATGTTCTGAGATCAACTCCGAGAAGGAGACTGACTAACACTTCTGCAAGAAATGCAAGCCAGTCTCGGAATAGAATTATTTCTTCAATCTTTTCATCAAACACATTGTTCATCAGTTACATACAAACAACCTACAAGAAGCTTCATTAACCAACTCGCTTCCGTTCCCTTCCAATTTCATCTGTCCAAAGCGTTGGACGAATAATGGGTCTTAGGCCCACTAGTGCATAGCTTGTCCTGATAAATTTGAGTTTGCTGGGGTGGTGCCGCTGGAGCCAGAGGATGGGTGTTCTAGACGTCGAGATTGCTTTGGCAAAAAACTCAAACAAACAAACCCAAACTTAAGTCTAATGGTTTAGGAGCTATCAGATCCATTTTGTTGTTGGTTTGAGGCTTAAGATTAAAATCAACACTTTTTCTACACCGCTGCCACCAGTAATAATTTCAATTTCTGAACTCAGAACACATCAAAATATATTATTTTATTATTTTTAACATCAAATGGAAACAACTATAATGTAAATACTCTGGTAAAAAAAGGTCAATTAATCTATCAGCTGTGCTATTATGTCACATTTTAGTATGTAGTTGGAAATTTTCTTTTTTTAATCTTTTAGTTTGATGGAAAAGGTAAATGAGTTGAGATATTAAGTAATTTAAATTTTATAAGACAGGACACACAAAACAATTTAAAACAAACTTTCCATACCAAGGCAAATTTATTTGTTGTATTGGGTTTTAAATCAGCATCTGGTTGTCAAAATCTGTTGTTAGTTATTAATATTTTACATATTATAGAATAACAACCCATTCTGAAAATATATGAATTGCAAAAATTGTCTTTTACGTGGGTCTTTTTTAAGTATGTGCCGTTTTTGCGTTTTGCTCCGTAGTTCCCCTTTACGCCACAACGAGACTCCTCACTGCTTACTAGCATCATTTGTGAATAGAATAGCACCATTTGCAGCTTTGTAGCCATATGTTTAGAAAATTATTGAATCCCCTGCTACCTTCAAGATAAGGCCAGTGATACGTTTTTTGACCACAAAAATTTCCATTTTGGAAGGAATTGTGTTTTTGGTAGGTACCCAGACTTCTTACAGAAGACCAGAAAGGAAAAAGGTGTTTAGGGCCATTTTTACACTTCCTAACCCATTTGCCCACTTTACCCTGACTCATTGCACTACTGTCATAACCATAAGTCATCTGGCAATGAATGTTAGCATTGGAAATGTTTCTTGTGTTAAAAAAACATATCAATGACCTTATTGCGCATGCGGCGGGAGATTAAATAATTAAAAAAAAAATTTAAACGCACAGCAAAGCTTATACATCAGCTACAGAGCTGCAAGTTGTGCCAATTTATTCACAAATGAAGCCAGTAAGCATCGAGTAGCCTCGTTGCTGCGTAAACGGGAACTACGAGGCTATAGGCAAAAATGGCCTTTACTTAAAAAACTACTGTCGTAGGTATATCTTCAGAACCTGATGGGGATTTTGTCAGAGCCAGGAGCTTTATTCTTGAGGTCGGTGGAATTTACCAAAACTTTTCTACAAGTTCTAAGAACTTCAAAGGGCTCTACATGTGCGCACATGGAATGTATTCTTGTAAGTTTCCATACTAGTGTTAGACTTAATAACATCAATTAAATGATGCATCTGGTTTATTATTAATAATTTAATACTCATATTTCATTCCACATTGGACCTTTCCTTTGGATTGTAATAATTGAAAATAAACAGTAGATTTTCCAATAATTAACACTGACTATTGATGTTCGGTTTCATGTCTGTTGAAGGCAACTCAATCACTTGACACTCTATGATGAACATATCTGATTGATAAGTAGAATAAACAAATGAAATAAATTCTATTTCCAATGCATTAACAGGTGCCTTTGGTTTTAGATCTGTGTAAACCCCAAAACACTATGTAAATCTGAAACCTGGGAGAGAACTAACAAAAACGAACTTACAGCCTAAATTTCCACTTTGCAGCATAGTCTAAATTTGAATTTAACATGATGTTTCATGACTTTTAGTCCAGCCTACTATCAACGGGAACAAGAAAGAAAGAATTCTAGCACATTTCTCAATGGCAAGAGGGATTTCAATACTCAACTCATTTACCAAAATCTTTAATAATTTGCTTAAGAATTTCAATACGAGTGATGTTCCTTTGGATAAATTACTTATGAATGGTGCATAAATTGTCAATGAAAAATTCTTGGCTCATTTAAACATAAAATCAACAAATCAGTTTCTTATTTGAAAAAGTAAACTTAATTACACATTGTTAAACAAGAAAATATGAAAAATAAATTGCCTGTGCAGTGCTTGCATTAGGCCTAGTCATGACAAACTATGTAAGAAAAAGTTTAAATTCACTTTTTTAAAGAATTTTTACAAATTCAGTTCTGAGAACATAAATAGAACCACTCTTAACACTGAACTCTCAAAGTCAAAACACATCCAATCATGGAAAAATTCTATAAATACGGTTTGTGACAAATTAACAATTGGTGGTTTTCCAAAATGTAATTGAAATGAGAAAGTAGATAATTAAAAATAAGTTTGTTGTACAATCCTTTCTAATCTACTTCTCTGAAATTAAGACTTGTTTGGTCTGAGGAAGTATTTTTTTACATAATTTCCCCGTCTGTGTGGGCAGAAGATATTTGATATATTTCTGAGCAAATTTGAATTGAGAAAAAATACTGTTTTACTTGAAAAAATAAAATAAAACCAAGCACTGCTTATGAGTAACAGAATTAATCATGTAAAAAACTAAATACTTCCAATGATTTGCTACAATGCACAATTTCAGCAAAAAAGTACAAAACACAAAATGCTTCGATTTCCTCAACATTAAAAATATGAGCTTTGTAACACAATTCTAGAATGGTGCCAACTCTTTTCTTATCCGGCAATAACCGAAAAACGGAACTTCCGTAGAAAATAAATAAACATAAAAGTCAACATTCGAAGAAACCTGCCTGTTAGACAAAACTTGCATTGCCTTCTACATTACGATAATACGAGATCAAAACCAAAATATCTTTTATGATACTGTAACTGAAACAATATCAATAAATTCAATGAATACACATTCACTATATTTTCTATTAACAAACCATCTTCATTAGTAAACAAGACAATTGATGATTATAATAATGCAATGACAACTTTGCTAATACACTTTTCTACCTCTCTAATATGGTGCCATGTATTTGGTTTGATTCAGTGGTGTGTACAGAGTATAGGGAAACCAACTGATGACAGAAAATAATGCCTCAAAGATAGTGAATGAATCATTTCACACTCTCTAACTTGTGTTTCGGAAGACTTTCAAAATAGGTTACTTTTTCTTTTAAGCTTTAGTAGTACTACAATAATTTGTTGTCTAGTCAGCGTTTTTTTTTGTTTTAATTTGTTCACAGTCAGTGAAAATTGACACTCAAAGCTGTATAATAAAGTCCAAAACAGAGAATTTTATTTTTATTTCAGAATTGATAGCAAGATGTCAGCATTTTTAATAACAACAAACAAAACACATATTTTATGTTTTATTTTCTTCATAATTCAGCAGTGTTTGAATAGGAAATATATGTAATTTTAAAACAAGAACGATAAAAATATCAGTAATATATAGTAGGAAATTTATTTCCTATAGTATATAGTTCACTCACCATCATCGAGTAAAAAAATCGTTACAGGAATGTAACCTTCTTTACAAATATATTCAATATAATCACCTACATGGTTGCAATCCGTTTCGAGCGTGACAATGTCGTTAAATAAAAACCATTTGAGACTGTTTAGAAAACTGACAAAAGAGGCTAAAAAGGATATTTTGTACGATGTCGAGCAGTAAAAAGAAAACACACGCTCGACCATTTGGTTTCATGTACTTAAAGATACACCATAACATTACACAAATGGAATGCACAATCTTAAAATCGCAAGAAAGGGAGACTACAGTCTTACAGTCGTGGATGGCACTCCAGCTCAAATAGACCTCCCACCGTCTTCTTATGTACAGAATAATTGTTAGAAAAGAGAGACACTGGTTAGCGTTCGAGCACTGTTCCAGTAATAAATAAACTATACACAGTAGAAAAGTGAGTCTTAGACCCAAGAGTCCCCTCCGGGTGGCGCGGGGGCTGCCATGTGACCGTGTCCATCTACTACAAGTCCCTTGGGTGCGGGGCCTTGGTCTTCGTAGCCCCACATGTCCCCAGGTCCGGGGGCAACTCCCCCGTCCAACTGGTTACCAGGGCCTCGGTTCTTTTTCTTTTCCCTGTTAACTTGAGCGTACAACGGTTCTCCGGGTTTCACCTACAACACAAGAAATGTATTTTGTAGAGCCTTTAAAAGATTATTAAGTAAGTCACCGAAAACTTAAACGCTAAAAAACTACCAGGTTACCAGCATCACAGAGTAATGTTTTAACAACACACATTTCACAATTTTGCTGTAAGAGCTAGCTCACTATTCATTAACTTGAATTCATATTAAATGTTTTAACGAGAGAAATAAGAAAATATTAGCTACTGAGATCATTAAAATTAATCTTAAACTAATTCCAATATAAGTTTTTTTAATGTTGATATTCTTTACCCCCTATGTCTGATGTTATGTCTTGATCCTTAAGAGCATGACTAAATTAATTATTAGCAACAATGAAAACCAGAGTCCGGTTCATTAAAAAAGCTAAATTATTAAAACTACCGTATCAGTTTTCTATGTCAAATAATGTTGATTTCTGTGTTTGATTTAGCAGAAAAACTTTCTAGAACCTCAAATAAATTAAAAGAAAATATTTGTAACAAGTTATTCATCTTTAATAAAAATTAGCACTAAAAAATAATATTTTATGCTTATACATTTTGCAACATTTAAACTTAATTTTTTAAAGTGAATGTAACTCTGAATTGCATTGGAGGCAACAGTATTAGGAGGATTACATTTAAATTTAACTGAATAAAAAGCTAACCGGTGGTGGAGGGTAGATTCGAACACCGCCCGGGGGAGGTGCATGAGTCGCACCCTCTGGGTAAGACATGTCGGCCATTGGGATTTCTTCATTCTGAAAACAAAACCGCAACCGACTGTCAGTTTTAATGGGTTCTAGTTAACGGTAAAAAACTATCTTTACTTTTGTTGCTTTAGAATGCTGAACTTTTATGTTGCTGCTTGGACTACGATGTTACTTAATATGTCAGGATAGCTGTGCAAACGTTTCATCACATTATCACCAATATGTGTACCTAACTTAAACATTGATCCCCCATTTATTGTGAAGAGAAAGTGGCACTCTCCCCTTAAGCTAACTTGATTCAAATTGAGGTTAGGTTTGGAGAGAAAGGGCTTATTGCCTGAGAATAGGTGTGAGAACAAAACGGCACACGGAAGATTTCTCAGGTGCCGTTTGACGTCACTAACTGCTGACGTCACTTTGAGGGAACACCAATACCGCAACGATACGGTGTTTAGCCATCGACCTCGGTGGTGCAGTGGATAGCGTTGCGGGCTGATAATCCCGATGATCCGGGTTCGAATCCCGCCGGCGGCACTAACTTTTTATCAACAATTTTTTCATATCAGCAAGTTTGGTTGGTTTGGTTAGGTTATGACAGTTTAATTTTATAATTAAAAGATTATAAAATTGAATTTGAACAATTATAATTTTATTTTATGAACAAAACTATTTTTTAGATTAGTAAACCTTTATTCGATTTTTCCATTATCAGCACGTTTGGTTAGTTTGGTTAGGTTATGACAGTTTAATTTAATAATAGAAAATTATAAAATTGTCTGTTACTTCAGACGCAGCAGTTAGTGACGTCAGCAGTTAGTGACGTCAAACGGCACCTTAGAAATCTTCCGTGTGCCCCACCGGGTGTGAGAAAGGATAGGATAAGCAGGCTTACTTTAATAAATGTAGGCATCCCACTTCATTCACTACAGAACACAGAAGAAAACACAAAACAAAATAAACACTGGATATTTCGAGGCCACTGGCCCCTTTCTCAACATGGAGAGTCACATTAGATATTTAGTCTTTCACTGGTAAGGAAGCAGTGTTGCCAACACACTATGAATTTACAAATGAATATTTACAGGTTAAATGAGTCATTGATTTTTATTTTTATTTACACTTAGTCTAAGCCTGCTTTTTAGGTGTGGAAGGGGAAAAGGAAAATGTTAGGCCTATCTGAGATTGAGGTTTGGGGGCTTCCTGGATTTTGTGAACCATTGATAAGAAAGTTCCCATCTCCTTAGTTGTGATGGGTTACAGGTGGGAGGGAAAGATCTTATTATTTTTTAATTGAAACAACTGTTTAAATCTTGCATATTGTGGCTGGCAGCATGAATAGGCACTGGTTTTTCTGGATGGTTGTTTTTTATGTCTGTCCTATGATTGTTCATTCTTGTTCTAAAACTAGTGGTGGTAAGTCCAATGTATTGAGATAAGCAATGGTTGCATTGAAGTTGATATACAACATTTTTCGTGGAGCATGTATTGTGTCCTTTAATTTTGAAGGTTTCTCCTGTTGATGTGCTTGTAAATGTTGTGCTGGGCCTATTTATGTGGCAGGTTTTGCATCTTGCCATGTCACATGGGAATGAGCCTTCTATGGGTTTATCTTGGTCTTTGTTAGGTTACATAACTTGACAAATTCTCCTAATTTTATAAAGAATTGATTTACTTTCTATGATTACATAATATATAAACTGATGGTGTCTATCATTCATCAACAATGAATGAGGCTACTTTTATATCACAAAATAGTAAAATAAAGGACCAATCTCAGTTTTCATTGTTGCTTTACATGTTCTTAGAAGACATGTTCTTTAGCTACTTAGAAGAGCTAACAATTGTCACCTTAAGAATTATAGATTTTCTCATACTTATTACTTGCCTTTGACACTTATATCCATGCTGAAATACAGTCACAATCACAAAACATTAAGCAAGGAGGAAAGGATAAACAAACTTAATTTTGTTAGGTAAAAATCATAAAGCCCTTCCCCCAACTTGCAATTGAAGGATTGAGTATATGAGAACTTTCCCCCAGAGGATAACCATATTCAGAGAAACCCCCAACTTTAAACCTCAGATAATAATCCTACCCCAATTTTTTGTAAATATAGATGAATTTTTATAGAATTCAGTAGTGATTTGGTAAAAGTGACCAAAAGCTATAGACTGGACACCATATTTATCTTACTCCTCACACAATCTACAAGAACATAGAAAGACTCTACAGTACTGAAGAAGAAGCTAGTAGCTCTGAAAATTCAATGTGTTTATTTGTGGATTTTCATCAATTTTCGTCAGTAAGGTAAGCTACTGGTAAGCCTATCCATTAATAAATCCTTAAAAACCTTGGCCTAAAGGCAACTTAGCAAAAAATGATAGTATATTATTTAAATAACTGTGACAAAAGCTGGGAGGTGATAGATGAGATTGATGGCTGTTCAAAGTTCCCCTGTATATAGTTTTTGTGACCCTAATATAAATCCATGATTTATAACACATCAAAATTAAATCTGCGATTTTAAGAAATTCAACGACTCCCTTGTAAAATCAGTGACTGCTGTGCGGAACAGACACCCTGCTAGATATCTGCTTCAGATGAATAAATAAATAAGTTAAGGATTTGTATTAGAAAACTATAATCAATTCTACGTTCACGTGCAGTACAGGTCTACAAGGAGGCAGTCCTGGAAAAATCATGTTCATGCAGGCGGAGTCAACTGTCTTCGAACATCATAAAGAACGTTTTCACTTGTTTCAGTAACTTTCTGCGTTTTCATAGATTCATATTTGACTTAGTGATTTGGATTTTGACTTTGGTATTGTTAAATTAAAGTAGTAGAAAAAAACTTGAGAAAAAAGTACAAGTCAAGAGTCCTATCCATAATCTTGGAGGCTAGCAGCCATCTTGTATAGTTTCAAACAGCTGCTGAAGAGTTAATTATCATCCAAAAATATTTTTTCAAACACCAAAGTGATTATAATGCAAATATCTAGTACAAACAGAGAGGGGTTGGCGTATAAGTATAAAATGCTTATTGCAGTTATACTTGTGCTTTGCGTTTGCAATGGGAGAGGACATGGTTTAAGAAAATTTGGTTCTTTCAATTTACGGTATGCTTTAACATAGCACATCTACCATAGCCATAATGTTCTACCAGTGAAATGAAATTCTCATTTTTCAAAGCTCTTTTTTTGCTAGTTGGTTCAAATTAGATGTTGTCATAAATGAAAAAAAAAATAATAATAATACAGTAGTGCTACACCCTATTGGTAAACCTTATAACTTTTTAATGATATTTAAAAGCAAAGTGCAAAGTGAACGTGGAATGGAGTATATCTTTACAAGCTGACTCACCCCTGGAGGGAAGTTGTTAGAGGGACCCGGGGACCTAGAGTTATCGGAGTTGGTAGGCCTGGGGATGGTTCTGTCCTCGTAACGTGTGCCACCCTGACTGGCCATTGGTCTGTTCAGAGTGTTGTTGGCGTTGTTGGGGGAATGAGGACCTGCATTACGTGCAGCTACTGTCTTGGTCACAAAGTCCTGCTCCTTCCACCCGTGCTTCTTGTACACCTCCCTGAAACCATCAAATTTGAAACTTATAAACACACAATGGAAATTTATCTGCTGTAGAACCAGATCAAGATACTTTAAAATTCAAATTGTAGGCAACATCTTGGCTTTGACCTTTAAAAAACTTGAGATTTTGTTGTCTGCCAATTTCTGAAAATCTTTTGCCTGGAGTAGATTCAGGCTCTTGATTACCCTCAAATACTTATCAAACAAATCTACTATTACTGTGGTGACATTAACAAGGAAATATTACTCCCCCGATGTTCCTGACACTGCTGACAATCGTTGGTTTAGCAGTGTTTATGAGAGGACTAGTAAAATAGCAAGGCAATACCCCTATAGCCGACAGTTCTTTAATATACCATAAATAAATAAATAAATAAAGGCCGTACATGAATTGAAAAAGTAATAACTATGCAAGAAGAAAAGACTGGTACTAACAAAACAAAAATCAAGTTTTGGAAAAAATAACAATTTGTAACAACTGATAGTTAAAATATAACTAATGGCAAAGTGGCCAATTATTGTGACATAAAAGCAATCGCTACAATGTCTCGTCATTCATTGATCTCGCTTCTCTGATGAATTCTTGTATTTATAAATCAACACAACACATTAAAGTAAAAGTAACAGTGGCATTTTATAGTGATTTGAAAGTCCTTCAGTTTTGTACACATACCTAAGTTCCTGATGTTGCCACATAGTAAAGAGGACCTGGCCGGCAAACTTCAGCACTCGATGTGTGTATTTGAGCCGTTGTCTGGTGATGTTCATTAGTCTCTCTACGCCACCAGCCTCTAGCAGTGACCTAAGTAACAGATCCATCACAAATTATCTTTGAATGTCTTTTATTAAGGTAGGAAATAGCGATATTTTTCCTACAGTTACTACTAACAAAGCATATAAATAATTAGTCTTTCAAACACTAAACAACACATTTTTGGTTAGGTTCAATCCAAGCGTTGATCAACAATAGAATGTTAACACAGAACAACTGGTTAAGTCATAGTATCAAAATTCAAAAGGCTATGAAACACTGCACCAGCTGATTGTAGTCGTAGTATCTTTAAGTGTTGCCAACTTATTTCCAAACGTACACAAATGATGTGCCTAATAAAAGCACACTGTTTTGTGTTCTTTGGTTGGAATACAATAATGAGGCAAAAGTAAGTAAATGCAACGATTAGCTACTTTGCGTGCTATAATCAGTGCAAGGAAGCTTGCTTTGTCAGGTAACTGTAGGACAAATTAATTCATGATACAGTAGACTCTCGCTCATCCGGACTAATGTGGCGGACTTCCGGTCCGGATTACGAAAAATCGAGAGTCAAGCAAATATTTGTAAATTTTGCCGTTACAGCGAGCGGTTTCGTCAAAACACACGCTAATACAAATGGGAGCGTCTAAAACAAGTTAAAACTATCGTAATAAATTACAGTCGGCTACTGTACTGTAATTAACAATAGCACTACTATACTGTATGGATAAAAAATGTTGCATAGTAATGCGGGAACTGTAAAAAATAAAGCAATTTACCATACGTTAAATATAAATTATTTACAGTAGCCTATACAGTACAACAGTACAGCAATGAATCACAGGAGTAAAATAAATAAGTTCATGAACATAAAATTGTTTTATTGCAACAAAAAAATATACAAGTATTAATATAAATTTTTACTTGTGTCATAAAGAATACCTTTACGCAATCATCGCGTAAAGTACTATTTTGAAATGCATTCGAAGTCTCTTGTACACAATGGTTAACTGAAAATTGCTGTAAGAACAAACTTTACAGTTTCAGATGGATCCCTGGTTGGAGTGGATTTTTACTTCTAATTAAGAAGTTAAATTTGTGGATTCAGAATGTACACAATGGATGGTTGACACAATTTTATATTATTATATAATTGATAAATAGCTTTAACACTTTTTGAAACCTCATTGGGAACAAAAAGTTAAACAATATTATATATAATATTAATAAGTATTAATATAATATTAAAAAGTTCAACAATCCTCCTATCTAATAAGTCTTTTGTCATAAAGTTAAAAGACTATAATTTTTGACGAAAATGTTACCTTGAAAACTCTGCATTCTTCTTGATAACTTCGTTAAGTGTAGCAAGAACAGCAGCAATCGTATCGTCCGATGTGCCTTGATCATGTTGAGGGGTACCAGAAGGTAGTTTCTGGACCAGATCTCTCATTGCATATTTACCTGAAGGGATAACCACATTAGCTGACTAAAAATGTAAGAGGATATTTGATCTAAATTATATTTCTATCACTACTGAACAACAGTACTTGGTAATGATTACAAACTCTACTTTTCAAAAAAAGAATTTATGATTTAAGTTAATTAATTTATGAATAAAATACCGGTAAGAAATATTATTATGGCATAATTTAAATTTTAAAAAAGTAAAAATCTCATATCTTACACCTACACTTTACTCACAAACAAGATGAAAAGTCCAGGGTTAATAAAGAATTTGGGTCAGGTAAAAATAAAAGATACATATTTTTAGGTAGTAAAAATTAACTTTTGGAGTGGAAGAGCAACTTTATCCATTACCATAAAATATTAAGGTTTATCTCGATAAAAAAACTTTGATTCACAACAATAACTTTGCACTAAATAGGGGTTTATATTATAAAATGTGGGATTGCCCAAAAAATACCCTATTTTAACGCCGTTGGTAGAGTGGTGCTGGCAAAAAATGGAATTGCATTTCAACCTTTATTAGATGTGTTATATTTTAAAGAAACTAAAACCAACCTATTAATTCTTTGTTGCGCTGATCTATGGCCAGATTTCTCAGTGCAGTTGCAACAGCACATACAACTCTGTCCACCTGAAAATAAACACTTGGGGTAAAAACACTGGCTATTGACTTCAATATACAATTGAATAGAATACTAATATTATATTCCAATAAAAAAAAATATTGTGAAGTAAATAATATGTACATAAAAAGTGTCAATGAATGATTAAATATAAAATAAAACAAAGATATGATATTATTACTAAAAATTTCAAACTTGTATATCGAATATGGGAAATTCTTTTAACGGTATGACTAGTAGAATTCCTTCAAGGAGAAATGTGGTTCGTTCATAAAAATATCTATTTCTATTTGAATTAATCCTGGATTTCATTGGTGGTCTAAATAAAAAATATTTTAAAATTTTTAACCCACAATTTTATTTTATTTCTTATTTGTATGAAACAAAACTCCATGTCTAAAAATGTTAATTCTGTTTTTTGTTACCCTCCACAATACCTCATTCCAACGCCATACAGATACACTTTTCATTCCCTGCTATGAACCCCATCACACCCAACAATGCTTCACAACTCCCATGTTATCACCATCATTATACTAAGTAAGTAGGCTGATGGCCATGGCGGACTTAGATTTGCCTTGGCACAACAAGTTGTCAACAGTGACAACCTGTTTCAATTACACTAAATTCTCCCCGAAATTTCTAATCACTCTTAGTGATCTTTACCCAACTCCATACTGAAAAATGCTACGCTATTTGAAATAATATTGGAAGGTCTGGGGAAAAAGTCATATCTCTCTTATGTAACATATTTTTGTCCCATTATTCATCAATGTATTTGAGATATCCTTTTTAGCACAAATACTGCAATACTAAATGATGAGATGATGTTACTGTAATTTGTATTTAGGTTCTCAATTCACAATAAAAGTTCATTTTATAAAATAATAAATAGCCATTTCCACTAATAATATTGACAATATTTTCATCCCACAAACACAAAATAAGCCTTCAAATGAACTACTAAGTAACAATTTACAGTAACAAAACAAACAAAAATTCAAATCGCAAAGTATCATTCAGTCAACTATTCAGTCTCAGCGTTACTGAAAGGAAAGGCAAACAGTAAAACAGTTGGCCACCAGCAAAAGAGCTAAATGACCCGGCTGTTGATAATTTGAAGCTTATAGACTGAACTGACAATAAAAACCCAATAAGTCCACAGCATTGTTGCCCACAATATGAAATAAAAGAGTTGCCCTGAGCGATGTTCCCACAGAAGCCACTGAAAGCACTAAGAGGGTTAAGGAAAATCAACAGTGGATCAAGTACCTCCATCCTTAGCAGCTCCACAAGAATGGGAAGTCCCTTCTCCTTGCGGACAGCCGCACGTATCTCAATGCTCGGTTGCCAGTAGCACGCAGCCAGGTTCTGTAGAGCTCCGGCAGCAGCCTCTAGGGTCTCCGGGTTAGAACAGGTCTGCAGGAGTGACAAGTATGACTGTACCACCTAGAAACAAATTACATGTAAGATAGACTCATGGTGTCTGATAAATCTTACATATGTTTTAACCCTTCCCGTACGGGTGACGGATATATCCGCTTATGGTTTTTTATGTTCTGGACGGGAAGCGGATATATCCGCCTTCTCTTCAGACAGACTGGCAGGTGCTTGAGCAGTCACCAGATGTTTCGCGGTACCAAGGCGCCACTTTACTGCTCTCTCCATTGCTGCACTATCTCCCCATGCACTTCCCCCTCTCTCCCGCGCCTACCCCTCTCCCGCGCCACCCACCTCTCCCGCGCACCACCCACCTCTCCTACGCTATCCCCTCGACGTTTCGCGCTCAACACTACGTTATCTTTTTTTTATTGTTTACATATTGTTCTTTATGTATTGCCTAACGTTGTCATGGTCATTTCTTCAAAGACGGGTGGCGGATATATCCGCTGCTTTTCTACTCATCCGCGGACGGGTAGCGGGTATATCCGCATAGTTAAAAACGTGTAAAAAATTATTTTGACAGTATAAAGTGTTACATTGTGTTTATTTTATGTTTACTTGTATAACAAAAGACAAATAAGGAAAACTAATTTTAATTTTTTTCCTATAATTTTTTCCCGTTCTATGTCACAATTTCGCCCGTCCGGGAAGAGTTAAGAGATTTTTGAGCTTCTGCATTTGGTTTACATGTAGCATTGACATTATCTTTCTTGATTTTGTTGAATTAATCTGTACTTTTTGGGTTTTAAGGAAAACCTTGTGGCTGATTAAGAGTAGTTTTGTTAAGAAATGAAGGTCAGCAAGCTTATAAGTTATATTTTGAGGACTGAAGTGACACACAAAGTCAAAATTGATTCTTATACATAGCGTAAATATGTATATATATTTCTTTAGAAAATATATGAATAGATGATGGTTTGATTTCTCTGCAATTTACTCGCTGATTTACGTACACTAGAACACAAATTTTCTCAAATAAGTAAGATAAACTTTATAAAAAACTGGGTTAATTTTAGAAGGGGTGTTTGCATGGTCCTTTGACCTTTTACCGCCACAACACTGACCAAGTTTCTCATGAACTCTGAAGGCTGCATGGGAATTTCACAAACTTTGTCTTCTTAAATCTGATGTATCTTCGATGGTCATGTAAATACAGTAGACTCTCGCTCATCCGGATCGGCAATCGTGATTTTTTTTTAACGCCACAGTACAGTAGAAATCCGATTATCCAAGCTAAACAGGACAGAGACTTCCTCGGATAACCAATAACTCGGATAACACGGCGGTAAATATTATTACCGGTGGAACTGCATTTGCCCGGCTATCGATACCTTGGACCTGGAACAAAATTGAAAAAACGGCTTTAGTACTGTATATGCTCGGCTCTCAATAGTCCGGATTTTCCGTAATCCGGACCGGACGCCCGCCACATTAGTCCGGATGAGCTAGAGTCTCCTGAATACCTCCCACCGTCTAATTGACTCCCACAATCACAGAAACGTTACCATTGTCCCTTGCAATCGCGGAAAAATCTTCTACATTCCCCACAGTCGCAAAGACAAATCTTCACTTCACATTTGTGTCACACAACCGCAGAGAAATACTTGAAGTCTTCATCTACGACTGGATATTCCAGATGGATTGTGCGAGGTTTCTTCTTATTATCTAAAACTGCAATTCTTCACATCTACATACGAAGTAATAGACCTTCATATATAAGTGAATTTCCTCTTTTAACTTGGATTTATCCAGCTGTCTTATCTCTTCTGATAGGCTATTGTAACATTTGATCACTGATACAGGAAAGCTATGTAGAGTTTTTGACAGTCAACAAGACGATTTGCTTACTATTGCTAAGGTAGCTGCATAAGGTCTTTTGCGCAATGCCCTCAATGCCATAGAGTTTCAATTTCTCCAGAAGGATATTGAGAGGTACACAAATGAAGGCCATAATCAAGTCACATAGAGTTAAGGATAGAATGTCTCTATTTTCAAAGGAGTCTGTAATTTCTCTGTGACTAATGATAATAGGGCTGAAGTAGTACAGCAACCTTCTACAAAACTGTGTTGTTTTTAATTGAGAAGATAGAGTTCCAAAAAGCTAATTTATTTTGTATAATAGTTTCAATCATCTAATAAAGACATAACTGGGAGGACTAAAATTGGATGGTAGATAGCTAAAATATCTGTGTCACCCTTTTTGTCGATAGGGATGGTTTTTTAGCCACCTTTAGTGCATCATGAAAAACTTTGGATCTTAGACAGTTATGTATTACACAGCAAAAAGGCACAGCAATGACGTCTATGGCTGACTTAAAATCCTACAAGAAACTCCAAATATGTCAGGGCTGTTTTACGACTTGAAATTTGTAATTAGTTTTATAACTTCAGCATCGCGCAACAACTAACAAACAAAAATCAAAATTTTTCATCAATTCTCAGTTTTGGTTTTTTCTGGTTAAACAGATAACCGACTTCAAATTCAACCCATCCACAGAGAAGAAATATTACAGTAAAAATGAAAACAGTTGGTAAATGGGTAAAAACACAAATTGCTTAGTCACAAATATCAAATTTGATTTTGTATAAAAAACATTTATTCAGAGTGAACCAATTAGAATCCGATCGACAACAATGCAGCAATAAACTACGATAGATTAAACGATCAATATATACTTTCGATACATCCGATTGGTCACAATTAAAGTTTACAAGTAATCAAGATTTACAGCTGATGTCCTCGACTCCAGCTGACTCTTAATACTCCCTAAAAGGAGAAAAAGGGCCACAACATATGTATTGAAAACAGCTGTATTTCTCCAGTATGAGAAAAAATGTCATAACAAAATAAAACGCAATAGATTGATAAGAACTATGGTGTATCTTCTGATTTGTCAGTTGTCTTGAACATCAGATGATACAAAAAGACTCAAAACAAATGTAACTCTCACCTCGGGTTGCCACAGAAGCTCCATTCCCCTCACAGGCTCCGACCTACTCGTACTTCTACTTGTGCTGGCAGTTTCTTTCTGTTGCACCATTTGAGCTTCCTTTTTCTTTTTACTAGCACCGAAACACCCCAAGTTTTCACCTGCACAAAGATTCAGACCTGCTTGCGATATTTTATCTCCAGATTAAGGGTCCTTATAAGAGTTTATTGATTAAAGAAATTACTATGGTTACTTATATTCAATTTAATTGGATAAAATACTGAAAGAAATCGACTGCAGGTAAAATGGCATGATTAACAAACCGTGCACTTGTTTGCGTTGGTTTTGCGCATAACTTGAAATAATGATTGTCATGGCAAATTATTTTTGAGATTAAAAATGTATCTACACAGTTTAGGAATATGAAAAAATAATGTGTTATAGTAGTTTTACTATTTTATTTATTATTCTGGAATTCACTGATGATAACTTTTCATATTGTAATGTTCTCCAAATACTTACTTCACGGTGAAATCTTAAGTTTTAATAACTAACTCTCGGTAAATAAAAACATAAGTTTCAGTAACAACAAATCTTACTAGAGTATGAGGAAGTTCAAGAAACTTAAGTGATATCATACTTGGAAATAAACTTAGGAGACCAAACCCATATTTTAACCAAAGAGATATTAAAACCAAACCAATAACATTTGCACTGACAACCATTGACGCTAAATATCATGTCGACAGCTTTGAGATGTACAGTTAAAACTAAGTCGTTCCACTTAAAACTATGTTGGCTGAAATCACCAAATATTCGTTTTAATACTCAATAAACTCCTGGAAGGAACAAATAAAAACGGTTAATATTTGCAAAACTAAATAAAAGAAAATGATTCCTTAAAATACTATTTACCTTTGGGTGGGGGCCCCACTCTACTCTGAGTAGGTAAGGGGTGTTTGTCGTAGTTCGGGTCTTCCACTTCTTGGCAACGGTAACTCAAATTGCGCAGAATACAAACACAGTTTTCAACGCTTTTGTTACTGATATTGGATTTTTCTATGGCTGATCGGACCACATACAATAATGAATCAACTAGTCCTTCACACTCTCGTAGCTTTTTCCTAGCATACTCTCCAGCCGAGCTTACATTCCTGAAAATGGAAACAAAATACTAGGTTAACAAAATGGAAAATGTGATATCATTTTACCCAGTCAGTGAAAGACTATGCTGTATAAGACAGAGAGGTAGATTCCAGAATATCTCGGTCATCTGTTTTTACGCACCTACAGAGGAAACAGATGATGACACCAAAGATGTTTTTTATGATAGCTTAGATCATCTAATGACGAACATTCCGAATTATGATATCAAAATATTATTAGGAGATGCCAAAGCAAAGGTGGGAAAGGAACCAGGATGGAAACAATATACAGGAGTTAACAGCTTGCATGAGACTACAAACGATAACGGCATGAGGCTCATAAGTCTAGCAAGCTCAAAAAATCTCAAAATAATGTCCACCAGCTTCCCTCGCAAAGATATTTACAGTCACTTGGCCAGGTTAAAAACCAAATAGACCATGTTCTAATTGAAGAAAGGCATAAGAGCTGCATTTTAGATGTAAAAAGCAAAAGAGGAGCAGAGTGTGGGACTGATCACTACTATTAGTAAAAGTTAGACAAAGGTTATGTAATGAGAAGCGAGAAAAACACAAAGTAAAACCAAAAGTTGACTTGGCGAAACTTGCTAACAGGCATCTAAAGAGAGAGTTTGAACTGAAACTAAGTAACAGATTTCAAGTCTTAGAAAGAGAAGAAGAAACGGATAGCTCTATTGAATTAAAATGGAAACAAATAAAAGAGGCAATACATGATACAACAGAGGAAGTTATTGGATATTGCAAAAAAAACCAAAAGCTAGGAAACCGTGGTTCAACGTGGAATGTCAACAATTGATTGAAGAATGAAGGCAGAAAAAGCAAAACGCAATTGCAAATGACAGCCAAGAAAACCAAGAAAAATATCACACAATAAACAGAGAAGTAAATAAGAAAGCGGCGTTTTCCTAGCGACGCGATTAAGTCTGTTACGCTGCGTGCTTCGTGCTCCGCGGTTGCTGGAACCACCGATCCCTTTTAAACTAATGAGACTGTTTAACTAATGCGCAGTGCGCAGCATGATTGGCACCACTGCCTCGAGAGCAGTCAGTTGCGAACCACGCCAGCCGAACTGGGCCATTGTTTACATTGGAAATATGGAGAAAACGATAAGTTGTAGTGATGTTACCAAGTTCACTGTTGATGATGACAGTTTATTAATTGACTGTGTGTCCGAGTTTGAAATTCAGTGGAAAATGAGCCATCCTGATTTTAAAAATAACTTGAAGAAGGACAAGCTTTGGAGGGGGATCTGATCTTTAGTTAACCTGATCTTTAGTTAACCTAAAGTAATCCTTAAATTTTACTTCATTGTCTATCAAGTGCCAATTAATAAGAATACTATAAGCACCCTCATGGCTCCTAGATCTAAACAGTTCACTACAGGAATTTCGACTTTTGGACAGTAGAGCTAGGGCTATGTCGACATCTTCGTCCATCTTTTCCTCTTCCACCAACAACATAAAAGCGAGACTCTTCTTTCTCCGATCCATAGCAGAACGCTACTGTGGAAACCGCGAATCTGCTTGTTACGCAACGCATTGCCGGATTTCTAGGAAAACACTTTTGCGCAGCGTAAAATTTTAATCACGCTGTTCCTGGCCACGCTGCGTTCTTTAGATTAATCGCGTAGCACACAGTGCGGTTACTGAAGTTGGAGGAAAACACACCTGAAGCTGCGGGCGGCTAAAAGGACTTATATCAAGAACCAGTTAGAGAAGGCAGAAGAAGACAGTATTAAGAACAACTCAAGGGACTTTTACAGGACAGTTAAATATTTTAAACAAGGATACAAAGCAAGGTCGTTTGGCATTAGGGATACAAATGGAAATAACCAAGGAACAGTATTACATATATGGAGAGACTATTTTAAAAATCTTCTAAATGTTGAATCTACCATAAATGAAGAAATAGAATTACCCTTAAATGTACAACCAAATATCGTAGACCCTTCTCTGGAAGAAGTGGAAGAAGCTGTCAAACAGCAAAAAAATAACAAAGCCCCAGGGGAAGATGGTATTGCTGCAGAAGTTATACAAGCAGGAGGGAAACCACTACTCAGAAAAATTCACTCATTAATTTGTGAAATATGGAAGAAAGAAGAACTACCATAGGATTGGAATGTTGCTGTCATAGTTCCAATACATAAAAAAGGAGACAAACAAGACTGCAACAACTACAGAGGAATTTCTTTGCTAAACACGATGTATAAAATACTATCAAAAATCGTGGAAAAGAAACTGAAAGAGTATTCAGAGGAAATCCTTATTGAACACCAAGCAGGATTCAGAATACAAAGATCAACCACTGATCAGCTTTTTATCATACGTCAAGCCCTGTCAAAACATTGGGAGTTTGATAAAGGTGTTCATCTGCTATTCATTGATTTTAAGAAAGCTTATGACTCAGTTAATAGAAATCAATGTGGAAATACAGATGGGGATCCCAAACAAACTGATCAACCTGGCTAAAACATGCACTGAAGAGTCTAGATGCAAAGTCAGAATCAATAATGAGTTATCAACGGAATTTGAAGTGCTAATTGGAGTTAAACAAGGAGACGGGCTTTCACCTTTATTATTCAACTTGGCTTTAGAAAACTCCCTTCAAAAGGTAAAAAGACAAGGCCAAGGAAAAGAAGTAGGAGCAAAATATGATGTCTTAGCCTTCGCGGATGACATTGCGCTGGTCGTGGATGAACATAGCTTGAAAAGCCTTGCCAAAACTCTAATAGAGGAAGCAAAAAAAGTAGGGCTACAGGTAAATTAACAGAAAACTAAATATCTTTGGGTAGGCCGTAACATGGACAATATTAGTGACAACTTACAAGTAGAGGACCTCACATTTGAAAGAGTGACAGAATTGAAATATTTAGGAGTGACTATTGATCAAGCCAACCAAGAAATGGCTGAAATCAACACAAGAATAATAAATGCCAACAGATGTTATTGGGCTTTACAAGGGCTTTTAAAACGCAAACTACTCTCAAGAAAGACCAAGTTACGGGTCTATAAAACCATCATACAACCCGTAGTATTGTATGGGTCAGAAGTATGGACAATGTCAAAACAGGCTGGAAAAATGCTGATGGTGTTTGAAAACAAAATTTTAAGGTGCATCTATGGTCCCATAAATGAAGATGGAATATGGATAATACACACTAATAAAGAGCTTCGAGAGCTATACAGAGACCCGGTCATATTAGCCCAAATCAAAAGCAGAAGACTCAGGTGGGCTGGCCATATCGCAAGAAGAGAACAAAATGCAACAATTTAAGCGATAAATGAAGGACTACCAAGAGGAAAGCGGCCCTTGGGACGACCACGACTTCTCTGGAAGGACCAAGTGGAAAAGGACTTGAGAAGACTGGGGGTAGAGGCTCAATGGATGCAAGACAGAGAGAGACGCGAGGCCAAAAACCTTCTGAGGTTTGAGTGGCCTAATAGGTAAGGTAAGCGGTAAAACTGAGCTTAAATATTGCTTAGAGAGGAATTGAATAAATAAATATAGGATGGAGAGGACACAGCTAACTCACCTGATGAAAGGTTGCAGATGAGTCAAAGAACACATAAAATCACACACATAATTTACTTAATATTTCGCCTCTTTCAGAGGCTTCTTCAGAAGTAGGCCTAGATGGTAGTTACAAAACAACAGTTTAAATAGGATGACTTAGAGAGGAATTGACGTTAACTAATATAATTTACTACTTTAATTTACTTAATTATAAAAAAAGTACTGCAGCATTGTAAAAAATGTTAGCATAAGTGATGAAAACTAATGTACAGCACTAGTTGCAGAGTTTCGAAAATGTAACAGCGCAGCGCTATTTGCAGTCAACTGCACACAAAATCTGGCGTTTAGAGAAACTTTCATTCTTAATTTAAATTGTGAAGAAGTTCAATAAATAACATGATATACAGTTTGGTATTTTTCTCTCCTCAAACATATTTTGTTCCTAGGTTTGATTTAACTTTTGATAGAAAGAGCAGGTTTACCTGTACAGTGGGTGAGTTTATTCAATACGAAAAACATTTATACTTGTTAAGAAATACATCTTATTATTATGAAACACTGTATATTTGTACAACCTTTTTGAGGGTATAGGGGTGACTTTTAATCCCGGGATTAACGGGATTGCAAAATTTATGTTTATATTTATTTTTTGTGAATTTGAGGACTTTTACTTACGGAAAATAAATAAAAATACGTCCAATAACACTTGAAACACATATACTCTTTATTTTTAGGACGATAAATATATATATATGAAATGGTATAAGTAATGATCTTTTTTGATTGGAAAATTTAATTATCATTAAACTCAATAGGCGAACAAATGTAGATATAGATATATGTTTAAGTTTTTAGACGGTTTGGATTTACTTTCTGTAAACGTTATTACATTAGTTAGAACTTAATTACAGTAGGCCTATGAGTTATTTTGAGTTTTACTTTTGACATTAAACGTAAACCACGCAATTTGTGTAGCAAACATAACATTGCAATCGGAAATTGAAGTATTATTTTCATTGAAGCCATAAAATATAACTATAAACAGAAACACTCCATTATAATCTCATTATTAAGATTGCTTATATTTAGGGTCTGTAACTTTATCCTCGTATTTGGTTTTTAGATTAAATTTCTTAAAATCTAAAATTACGTTTTTCATACACACGCTACTAATAAGCAGATGGTTTATTGTTTTACAGTATCTTATATTGTTTTATTGCTGTCAGTCAAAATAACTTTTTTACGCTGCTACTTGTGATTCTTCCCAGTTTATCTTATTATTTTAGCTATCTTTAATCTATCTATTAGTGTGACGTATAGGCTACGTGAGAGTGCGGTTGCTTGTGATTTTTTTAAAATGTATTTATTATATTCTAGAGTGACATATCAACATTTATACACTGTAAATAAGAAATGTAGGCGATGAAAGTTCCGCATGGTAATATTTATTTACTTAGAAAACGGAAACATTGCGCTGTGTAACACTGGTAAGGCCAGTTTAAAACATTAAAGTACTCAACGAGGGGACTGCTCGCTCATTTAAAATGGCTTTGGATTGAAGGCACGGGATTAAGACCCCTATATAGGTATCAAGAGCACTCTTCCTGTCAATAGCAAAATCAAGGCTATTCTGTCCTAAAGCCCTTTACCATGAATATTCTGTTCCTTCATACATTGTTCATTCTGAATACACACAGTATAAAAACTAAACCTCACCTAAGTACTCCAGAAGTGTTTCTAAATATAGTAGACCAACAAGTCTCTCCAGGGTTGCTGGAGTCCCACCCAGAGTGAGGGATGATAATTAAATTGACAATCATAGAGAGTCCGTCATCAATGATGGATCTTTTCAGGTCCTGAAAAAAAAATAAAAAAAATAAATAGTATTCACGAAAACAGAGTGTGTGAATAACTAAGAAACCTTCAAATGTTCTAGATTTCTTCTCTCAAACACTAGATGGAAAAAAACCTTTTCTTAAACTGAAGCTTCTTTGAAACCGAAAAAAGTTCTTACTCGGATTCTATTACATTTACTACCTAGAATGAAAACTCAAAATGGTGGGTGCAACTAAACATGAGATTTAAGGTTTGAATTTAACACATTTCTAGTATATTTGCAATATTGGGGAGCAAGCTTGTCAAGTAATAAAGAGAAAGAGTAGGACTTGGTCCAGAGGTCCCAGGTTAAAATTCTGTCAATCAGCAATAAATTTTATCTAAGCAACCATCTAAGCCTAACCTGAAGTAATGTGTAAACGGGTTCTTGGCTAAAGCCTACGTGAAGTATTACAGATGCTGAATTAATGACATACCTCACAAGATGACAGATTCCACAGTACTCCAGTCACTAACTCCTTCACTTCAGCATCAGAAGGCTTCTTCAGAAGGTTCATGAGTAAAGGAATTCCACCAGCATTTTTTATAGCTCGTTTGTTTTCATCATTCTGTCTACCGTATGACAGATTTCTAGACAAACAATTTTTGTTAATGAATATTATTTAAACAACTACCTAAGCACTCTGCATTCAAATAACGTTAAAAATAAATGTCTTAGAGGGAATGAGAGTATTTTCATACACCCAAACGTATTCAAGAAGCAAAAGTGACAATTATTACATGATTGTTGTCACAGGAGCGATGATGTTTGTTCAAAGCAAATAGTCTTTAAGCTGCATGTATCTCTGCAATTGACTTAACTTGAAAATCAAAAAGCTTCCATTACTCATAGATTTTAAGATGAAAACTTAAACGCTGATCGTGTCTTCATATTAACAGTGACTGGCAGTAACGTACTAAACAAGGAAGTATGGAGTGGGAAAAATGATTGTATTATTTCACCTATTATCAAAAATATATCATCCTATTTCACCTACCTCCGTACCGCGACCGGTTAAAAATAGGCCTACTGATTGTTTAATTTTTTATTGTACAATGTGTCGTCTTATTTGTATTTATTTGGATGTTCTCGACGAGTCTACTTATGGATAAAACATTCTTGAAGGATCACTTGACAATGCCTAAGTATAGGCAAAACATGTATTGAGTTTGAACATACTCTATTGAAATGGGGACGTAAAGGTAAGTATCTTAAATAATAGTTTAGATTACCATAAAGCTAAGCAATATTCTTAACTATTTTTGCAAACAGAATTGTCTGTACTGTAATTACCTGAGGGCCCCACAAGCATTCCTGTAGACATCTGGGCTGTCATGGCCCAACAACTTAACCAAAGGAGGAATGCCTCCCAGCGATCTTGTTTTTTGCTTATTGGGGTCATCCATATAACATAAATGCTGAAGGTAGGCTGCAGCATTGGCTTTAATTACATTATTGGGGTTACTTAAAAAACTAATGACTTCTGTTAAATTTGGATCTCGCCACCGTGTTCCTGTTGAAAAACAAAAGAAAAAATTAGCAATAGTATAAAATAGAACTTTAATTTTGTATCAGATTTGTTCATAGTTCTTTCTAGCAGTTTGGTTTAAGACATAGCCTATTCATGATTAAGTAATTGATGAATAGAATTTGTATTAAATGAGGTGTTTCTTTCACAAGTCGTATGTGAAAATATTAAATTATTAATCTAGTCCATTGATCTGACTGATTGGCAAACCCGTTTTATAGTTTGAAGGAATATTTTAATTGCTCTATCATTAAAAGAGACATGTTATGAAACCATCCAATTATTTATTCTTTGTTACACTCATAGAAAATTATGGTATTATTGTTTATCTTTAGACAGATCTATTCAAATTGAAATGTTATTATTTATGACCTCAACTATAAAACTGTTCAATCTTGTTTCTTCTTTAAATTCATCTTTGAGTTTTACTTTTCAGTACTTAAGGAAAAGTTTACCTCTGATAGGCTACGCTAAAAATATTATACATTATTTAAAACATGATTTGTATCAATAAATGTAATTGACAAAACTGAGTTACAAAATCTGATGACATTTAATTATTGATTTGCTATGAAATAACAGCACACAGACACTTGTAAAAACTGGGTTACTAGTGTTAGAGTAAGCAATTAATAAAATTGACATGACACCAATTGTTAGTAGAAATAGTAACTATTTGACAAATTCTAAGCCTCTATACTGTATAAATCTTATAAAGTGGTAGGCCTACACCGAAATATGCAAATAAAAGAACACGTGGTTAAAAAATGAGGATATACAGGGAAGGTATTCTATAAAACACAAGGCAACCTTATCCCCCCCCCCCCCAATAGTTTTTCTATTTTAAACATTCACTTATCATCCCACACAGAAAATTTTCTGCATATTACACACTTTAAAACGTCTTCAGATTTTAAAATTGAATGAGAAGTCTAGAATAAGTATACCAAGTTAATGATAAAAACTATAAATCAAGATTATCACAGAATGTAAATAGCTAGTCACTCATTGTTTTGTTTACCATGAAATCCCAAAATTTCTGCATATATTCAAACTGAATAATCACAAATGCAACAAGACCAGATCATAAGTAACTTTAGTTGGAAGAATTAAAAAAAATAAGACAATTGAGAGAGCCAAGTAAAGTGATTAGTACCACAAGTACACCATACAAACTACAATGTTAGTTTAAGCTATTTTAACAATAAGAAAGGAGTTATGAAGAAAATTGCCATGAATGTTAGAAGGTATGATCGTTAAATCTATGTTAATGATACATCCAAGAGAAAAGATAACCATACAAATAGGAAATGGACTGTTAGCTGTTTCAAGATGAAAAAGATAGACCAAATATAGAACATTAATAGTTCATACAAGAAATACCAAGAAGTTATGAAAGTTGAGGATTACAGAATGAACTTCCGACACCCTAATTAAATCAGCGAAGTATCAAATGCACAGGATGAGTTTGGAATAGGCACTCTAAATTTCAGGATTTAAGATCAATTAGATTTTGTGTAAGGATTTGATCAATTTAGGATTTGATCAATTTTGTTTGTGTTTCATTCTTTCACTTATTTTCAACACTGCTATTTTTGATGAGGTGGTGACTCATTTGGTAGAACGGCAGACAAGGCTACCACTAATATTATCAGTACAGTTGTAGTGTATTGGCTCGCTTACTTGGTTTGGAACATTCCACGCATAGGCACAAGGTTATTTTGAATACACTTTCATACATTAAACTCCGATTATTCAATAAATTGGTATCAGTCTAAGGAGTCATATGAACTGAAATAACCTGTGGATGACATTTGGCTGAATTCTCAGCTTCAGCAGTTTGTTGGTGAAAAGCTAAGGTCGAGCGTACTTAGAAAAGTGGTCTGATAACTATTAATATATTTTACTCTAATATTTCACTCTGATTTTAGGAGTATTTTCATTATCCTTGCGTCTACAGCACTCGGTAACCTTGTACTGGCAAAGAATAAAACAACTAGCTACCCAAGATGGGTAGCTCTCTTATAAAAACAGTTTTAAATACTTTAAAAATCTAAACATCTGTTTTAGATATGCCGATATGCCTATACAAATGTTTGAAACAGGAGCCCTCCTAGTTCTCTTAATATTAGTAGTCTTCCATACTATACTTTAACATTTCTCCAAAAACTGACAGTGCCTTACGCTTTTAAATTTTGATACATTAATTTATTTAGGGTGAATTGATTTATTAATTAAAAGATTAATTTATATTTTTATAACTAAGCTGTCTATTTGTGTTTATTTGCACCGGTACGGTAACAAGCTTAATTACCGTCATCGGTTGGGTACAGCATTTTACATGTACAGATTCCATTCGGTACAGCCTATTATAATAATAAATTACTTTCAGTTTACTATTGTAGTCAACTGCAGTTGTCCGAACCCATAAAAGTCTTATCAGATGTTTGTTTACGATCTTCATAATTTATTACTAGGGTGATGATGCAATAAAAAACCCATTAGCAGTCCCAAATCCATTAACATTTTATCACAACAATAATTGTTGTATTAAAGTACTTACAATAATTGTTGTATTCAAGTACTTCCAAGAAATGTTGAGTTTTATCACTTTAATTCCTTTACGACTTTCCCCAATTCTATTTTATCATAAAAATAATAGTTTTATGATGACTGTTAAATTTTATCTCTAAGGCCGGCGAGGACTGTAATTTTTCTTGACACAGTCCTCATAGTAGTAAAAGATTTTGTTTTAACAATGTGTGGTACAGTAATTGTTGTTAGAAAACCATGAATGTAAGATACTATCCATTTTCATAGTAATGTCAATGTATTAAAATTAAAAATAATGGTTTGAATACAGTTCTGAGAAGAAAACCGCAAAAATACGGTTAGCCAGGTACCGTACCGATTTTGTACCGAGAACCGAGGTACAAAATATTGTACCAACCTTAAATTTTCTGTACCGCAGACCCCTAGTGTTTATAGTTGCCAGATTCTGAGCAAGACAACAACGGTGTGTATTTTATTTGCACAGGTTGTTAACATGATCAAATTGTCATAATTGAAGTTATTTTAAAGCATCCTTTAACAACTCATCCTGATCAGTTAGCTAGAAGAAATAGAGCCATCACCAAAAACTTAAGCAACAAAACCGACCCCTTTGGTCATCGTCCACTGAGGGGGAAGCAGTCTCCTGATAGGGTGGTCTATCATCATAATTGTTGCCGTCAGATGTTGAGCCGTTCCCAATGTACGGTCGTAAAGTGCCGTAAGGTGATACTGGGTCATACCCATACACTACCTTCCCTACTAAATCGCCTACATCACCTAAAAAATACCACTTGCATCAGACTTCATAAACATTACTTCAAGAAGAGAAAAAAACTTGAAAGAGTATTTGAAGAGTACTGATTTGAGTACAGGAAATAAACCTTTCAGGTAAAGATAGGGTTAGAAACCAAAGACTCCATGTTGGTTTCTGTACGTAAAATATATTCATCACTACCTAAAGATTCTGTTGAATTTTCTCTACCCATTACATGTTAGAAGACAGAAAACCTTGAATCTAGCTGAATATCAAGATTGCAAATCTAAATTAAACTTTTTGGTCTTTAGATACCAAAGATTTATCAAAAATTCACGGGGATTTGATTTTTTCTAGGTGATAAGAGCTGACAACACAAACTGTATCGTCTATTTTATGATATCCGATTTTAATTATTGAGTTTTTAAATAACATTTTTGTATCACAGTCAAAATTAGACTCTCTTACCATTAATTCTTAGCATGACCAAGGGACCTTGATAAAAAAAAACTAATTACAAAAAAGAGTTGGAAAAGAAGAACTAAAATGTTGAGAAGAAAAAACACCTGTTCAATAATAATGGTTCATACAGGTGCTTTGTCAGAAAATTGGAGGTTGAAATCGGCTACAAAACCAAATCTACATCCCTAAGCAGAACTCCGTTATTATGATGAGCAACATGTTTTCAATTACACCTTTCGACCCCTATCCAAAATTATTGCTGGTAGTTAAACTGAGTACAGTCATGATTGTTTCCCAAATGATCAAATGATAATAAAAAGGTCAAATTGATTGCTAAGTTTTTTTTTACGGTTATTAGAGGTGTCTTTCATGACTAACACTTGCAAATTGTGTTATTATTGGAATGCCATATAGGTTAAAGACAAAATAAAATAGTTTAAATGGATGTATACAAGTCTAACAATAGTATTATGTGCCACGCGACTACATTTTTTATGTTGGGTAGTACTATGAGGTATACGTAAATTGGAATATTTACTATGATAATAAAATACATGTGTAGTAAAATTACTAATAATTAAAAAACTGAATTTTCAGATTTATTACAATTTTGGAAATCAGCAATACCTTTGAAAGTAAAGACCTTTAAAAAGTTTTAAGTTTTTAACAACACATTTTTGTGTACAATAGGAAATAACAATCATGAAAATCATACTTCAGTTTAAGTTACTTATTTGAACACAATACATAAACAAATCTAATGGGAATGATTGGTTTTACAATAATTGAAATAGCTTACTTATATTTACATGTATACAACAATACAGAACATTGTAAGTTTGGGAGATCCTGCATATAGTTTTTCTTGGCCATGGTTCTACCTAAACTAACACTTACAGTTTTGTGTATTTGTGGATCTCATTTAAGGGCTACATGATTTGCAATGTAAATAAAATATCATTAGACATAAATATTAGTTAGATACTAGGACGAGTCGGTGGTTAAGTTGGTAGCGCCACAGACTTTGGTCCCAAGAGAGTGATGTCGTGAGTTCTGATCCTGGTACCTTCACCTACTTTTTATCATACCGGCTCATCTCTTGCTTTGCTGGATACGTTCCACACACAGATCCGTAGTCTATGTGGACGGGCAAACGGAACGTTAAAAGAGGCCTCCGGACTCTTCAAAATAAAAATGTTTGCAAAACCGTAATACATATAGTATAGAACAAGTTTTCAAGCAAAAAAACTATTCAAATCAAAGTGCAAATATTTATCATCCTATTAAAAACGTTAGTAGAGGCCGTAGTAATTATGTCGTTAACCAGTTTTTTTTAATGACTAACCTTAGTGGTGATGCGGATGGAACTGTGTACAATAAAATTACCCTGGGCAGATATATTATATCCAGGCAACTTCTTATTACACTAAGATACCATGCTACTGCTAAAGAAGTACTGTAAAAAAAAGGATAGATAAACTAAAATATAAGCAAAAATTCATAAGATAGTTTTTAGATATTAAAATATGTTTAGAGCAAAAACAAACTCAGCAAGTGTAAGAATAAAAATCACAACATTTTCATTGCTTATAATTAATTTAAAATAGTAAATTTACAAAGAGATAGGTTCTTTAAATATCATACTTATACTAAACTTACCATGAGGTATTTGAGAAGGCTCCCCTGAATCATCAATAGGCCAGGGGTTACTCATTTGATCTAAAAAAAACAAACACAAGGTTCAATTCATAAAATTAAATATAAACATTGTTTAACAATTTGAACAATATGATTGCGAATGTTCACATAATAGCTCTTATTTTTAACTAAACAGACCCCTCGGATAACTGATATTTGGATAATTGATGCTCTACTGAAATTATATAAATTACCTATAACAACTTATGATGGGTTTAAGATTATTGGCATCTGCTTGACTCAACAAGGTGTTAACACTTACTTCTCACCTATTAAAAATTGTTGACTATTCATATAAAAGGTATCGAGTTTTTAATAATACTTTTACATTAAACCTAAGTGGCTGATTTTGAATTTTTTGGAAAGGAGGTAAATTTAAACTAGCGTACATGAGAATGTTAAAACCCCAGGGCCAATAGATACAAAATAAAAAAAATAAAACACAAAACATAGCACTGATATTTTGTCCTAACAAGGACACTTTCTATGTGTTTATTTGTGCATTTTCATTCAGTTTTATCAGTAAGGTATGCATGCTGTTAAGCCTATCTAACACAAAATACTTAAAAATCCTGGCTTAAAGTCATATACAAAAATGAGTATTTAATAGGTGTATGCAACGTACCATATCTATCTCCTATGCCCCCAGGTGATGGAGTTATCCGGTAGTGGTCTGTGCGTGGCAGGATATGTGATGGTTCCAACTCATCATACCCGGCGGTAGGGAACGGAGCACCTTTCCTTAGAAAATCTGTTGAACAAAACAGAAAAAACTGAAGCACTAGATATACAAAAATCACCTACGATCAATCACCCTCATCAAATCCACCAAAGGTGGATAGTGACAAAATTATTTAATATTTAACTATTTTAACTTTAATACAACCGAGATCGACTAATACTAACTAATTGGGACCAAACTTTGTTTGGATCATAAAATTGTTTGGATAATTCGGAAATTCAGTTCAAACAATTTTATGACTGTAAATGCATACCATCTGGCCATATATGTCTCATAGAAGCATATCTTGTAACCTAATTATGCTTTGTACAACAAAAAATAGCCGTTTTGTTATTCTGTTTAATCAAAATTATAAGCTCAAAATGGTAAAAAGTCTAAAAACACAGAAAATGTGATAATTAAGGTTTAGAATGCAAGAATCGGATCTAGGTTGATGTGCTGTTGATGTACAGTGGAGTTTGGCAAACATTCTTGAACTGGGTCTAAAAAGCCTGTAACTTAATTTATCCCAAAGTAATTACTGTTTGTAAATAACAGTTCAGTGTGAAACAATTGGCCTTCATTGCTTTTACATAGAGCAATTAAATACTATTGTACGTAAAAACTATTGCATGGCTATTGTATGTAAAAACTATTTTAAAGATTTAGGGTTTCTAACAGTTTATAGTTTATACATTTACAAAACAATACTTTATGTGAAAAAAAATGAATCAAAATTACAGCGACAACAGGACATTCATGAGCATGACACAAGGAACAAACAAAATTTTACAGTTAAAAAGCATAAAAAATAAAAATTTAAACAAAGACCAGATTATATTGGCATCAAATTTATCAACCACCTCCCAGAAAGCATTAGGAGAGAGCTGAGTATGAATATGTTTAAAAGAAAATTGAAAACATTTCTAATAATTAATTCTATTTATAGTAAAGAGGATTTTTTTAAAATATAAGTAGACTATTTATTTTAATTTTTAACATTATGTGTGTATAACAATGTAACAACAATGTAACAATGACGCATTCATGTGCAGTTATGTACGTTCTGAATAAAGATTTGATTGATTGATTGATTGATTGATTGATTGATTGTAATGTAAATATCAATAGGGGAGCGAACTGGTCTAGTGGTAAACCTCAGGGCTTCACATCCCGAGCTCAAATCCCGCCAATCACTAATGGGCTTTATCCATGTGATAATGCTGTAACACTCTAGGACTAGCTAGCTCTATTTTGAAATACACAGTAAGAGCATATAACCATGCAGTGATCCAGGTATTAGAGTAGAATACCTAGTCAAATATCTACAAACTTTAGGAAACACTAGAGAAATACCCCCGCCGCAGCAAACCTGCAGACTAAGCAAATTTCCATTTGCCTGATTGGATTTACACTAAAATGTCTCCTTAAAGATGTCACATCTATTCCCTATTTAAATAACATTAGTTTAACGAGTACTTAGGTTTGCTGCAACAGGGAGGGTAAAAAGGTGTTTTTTTGTAAAATGTTAATAGTTTAGTATGAAATGAATGCATTTTCCAAATTTGATCAAAATATGTTCATAAACAAGCAAACTAAAACAGTTTACTTATTCCCCATAAGAATAGAATAACATGGGAAATTTAAATTGACCGATTTTGGAATTTTCTCCGTAACCATTAGGCGCATAATAACGCTTCAATATACTAAATTATTTGTTTTTTAAGCTCTACAAAATGGTTTGAAAAGAAATTGCTAAATTTTAAGTTTATAGGGTCAAAAATGGGAAAAACCAATTTTTACCCCATAAAATCCCCCATAAACACCTGTTCCCATTGTCCGATCATGCTGCGAACTCGTTCGAATAAACGTAGGTTTACACGTTTGTACCAAATTTCATCAAAATCGGATGATTTTTGCTCGAGTTATCGCGCTAACGGACACATATATAAATATATATATATACATATGAATTTGAACGGATGGTGTTTTTGGCCTCTAGGGACCTCAAAACGAAAAAGTAAATCGGTCTCGGGTCCAGGTCTTACTATGAGTACTACGGTAATAGCTTATTCCCTATATGGGAAATTCGCTAAAATCAATAAATATTTGTAGGCCGACTCTGTGAGGGTACCTACCATGCTGAGGGGTGGGGGAGTCGCTCGGCTCGCTTGGACTAGGTGGCGTGGGAGGGCGCTCACTGTAGTCCTGTTGACCATAAGCAGGGTAGGTCCCAGGGTACACTTGGTTAGGGTACGGGTAGTGATCGTAATCTTGGTACGTTGGGCGGTACTGGTCAGTGTAATGTCTCCCTGAAAATGTTAGTAATCATTGAATCAATAGTTTCAACTGCAACATGCACAGAGTGAAATTAAGTAATAAGATATCAAAGTAGATTAGTAATAGATGAGTTATTACCTATGGTACAAAGAAGTGTGAACAAAATATATTAATAGTATGGGTTTTTGTATATTTTAAGGAAATTCAACAAAACGTTACTCAAGATATAATGAGGCCTAAGTGAATGCAGGTACAGTAGATTTCTTTTGTGCACCTGTGTACAAATCAAGCAGTTAAAAATCAATAATATGTACGCAATTAAATTAAATTTTATTTCAGTCACTCCTTTTAAACATAAAAAGGAGTAATTTGAACATTTATAAGGATCATTCAAAGACATATAGCCTATTATTAAGCGTCAAGGTCTTTAAAGGTTTTTTAAAACCCATTCATATTTTATCCTGTCTTAATACTTTCAGATGGACTATCATTAAAGTTACATTTATTTAGTCTTTTTATAATTAAATTGTAATTTATGGTTAGCTAATTTTAGGTCCTCCCAGAATCTAGTGTTGTAACTGTGACTGCTTCCCAATAAATTTGCTATTTTATCTTTCAACTACATATCACAGCAATTAATATATAGATTCAAAATATTTTAAAGTTAATTTGGTACCAACCTGATTCAGAGGGAGGAAACGGTGGTTCCTGGCCAGCCATGTGGTCGTAGTTGGAGAACGGCGGGTGTGGGTGAGGGGAGGTGGTGGGGGGAACTGCGGAGTACGGCAGCCCCACCGGAACTGACACATAGTCCACTGGCACGGCCTGGCCCTCTGGGCCCATATGGTGCACCTCACGTACCACCTTAGTAACTGTTGTCACCTGCAAAACATAACTCACCATAGCTAAATCTTACATCAATACACCTAATTGACCACCGTTTCCAATAATTGGTGTGTTATTCTGGATATTATTTCAAACATGTACCTGTCCCTATGATCTCTGGGATATTTGAGGTATTCTGAGAAAGAGTCCTATATCTAAAAACATTAAGAACACTTTTTCTTAATTATTGTGATGTGAAATATCCACAATAATCCCTCAGATAACAGAATATGATCACAAAACAATTGAGGAGACAAAGGACAAGATAAGCAGACTTACCTTATAAATTTTGGGAATCCCACTTCATGCAATAAGTGTAAAGTAAACTTTTGTGTTACTTTAGTGAAGTGGGATCCCTAACATTTATAAGGTAAGCCTGCTTATCCTGTCCTTTGTCTCCTCAATTCTCAGGCAAAGAGACCTTTCCAATCAAATACCTAACCTGATAACAAAACAAAATATTTTTCTGTGTTTTTTAACTAAACTTTTAACTATTTTCAGGACTAGTAACGTAAAAAAAATTAAAATAAACTTCACCGTAACAACTCGATCGTTGAATACATCGTTGAATAGATCGCAGTGTTATCGTATGTTTCTGTTTGCCGTTAAATACTATAATCCAAATAATTTAACTTGCTTATTAACACATTTTAGATGGGGAGACAATCATACTGCTTGAAAGTTAGCTCAGGTGTGCCACAAGGCTCGATTATAGGCCCCCTTCTTTTTATCACAGTCATCAATGACCTACCAGCCAATATTAAAAGATCCTCTACCATCATGTTTGCGGACGACACCAATTTTTTGAGTGTTCATCCCAACTTTTATGATCTCATGTCAGTAACTGAGCTCACAACTGATTCAGCTTATATGTGGTTTAATGCTAATAGCCTTTGTCTTAATAAGAATAAAACTCAAAATCTATTGTGTAGTCTTAAAAACATTCCAGTAGAGTCACAAGATGTAAACAATGAAAATGTAATTACAGTTTTAGGAATAAAAATTGATAAATGTTTAAGCTGGTCTCCTCAGATAGATTTGGTTTGTGCAAGATTGTCCAGAGTAATCTGTTTGCTTAGAAATCTTATGGGTGTTGTACCTGAAACCTACATAAGGGTAGCCTACTTTGCATTTTTCCAATCCATTATTAGCTACGGCTTGATTCTTTGGGGAAACAGTAGTCACATAAGTGAAGTGTTAATACTCCAAAAGAAGGTAGTTAGAATAATAAACAAAGCTCCATTTGAAGAGCATTGCAAGCCATTGTTCATAAGTAGTAGAATATTGACTGTGATTAATCTGTACATATTTATGTGTTTACTTAGGGTTAAGAAAAATACTAGTTCCCATGTTTATAGGTTTAATATCCATTCACACAACACACGTAATCAGTTCCTATTAGACGTGCCTTATTGTAGGTTAAGTAGCCTAAATGTAAAAATAGTTACCATGTTATTTCATTAAGATTATTTAATTAGCTTAGCATCAATGCCAAAGAATTGGACCTTAAGTCATTTAAAAAAAGAGCTCAGGATTGGTTACTTTTAAATCCTTTTTATGACTTAGAAGAATATTTTAAGGTTGACGAAGTTAACTTTTAATGTCCTCACATTTCCACATTATTTTTTATTTGTAAGCATATGTATTAGTATAGCCATTTTGACTTGTTAGCGAATTTCCCATATAGGGAATAAGCTATTACCGTAGTACTCATGGTAAGACCTGGACGCGGGACCGATTATTTTTTTCGTTTTGAGGTCCCTAGAGGCCAAAAACACCATCCGTTCAAATTCATATATATATATATATATTTATATATATATATATATATATATATATATGTGTCCGTCAGCACGATAACTCGATCAAAAATGATCCGATTTTGATGAAATTTGGTACAAACGTGTAAACGTACGTTTATTCGAACGAGTTCGCGATCCAGCATGATCGGACCATGGGAACGGGGGTTTACGGGGGGTTTTATGGGGTTAAAATAGGTTTTTCCCATTTTTGACCCAAAAAACATAAAATTTAGCAATTTCTTTCCAAACCATTTTGTAGAGCTTAAAAAAACAAATAATTTAGTATATTGAAGCGTTATTATGCGCCTAATGGTTACAGAGAAAATACCAAAAAATTGTACATTTAAAATTCCCATGTTATTCTTATGGAGAATAAGTAAACTGTTGTATTTTGCTTGTTTGTGAACATATTTTGATCAAATTTGGAAAATGTTTTTATTTCTTACTAAAAAAAAAACAGTTTTACCCTCCCTGATGCAGCAAACCTAAGTACTTGTTAAACTAATTCTATTTAAATCAAGAATAAATGTTATATTTTTAAGTAGACATTTCAGTGTAAATCCAATCAGTCAAATGGAAATTCGCTTAGTCTGCAGGTTTGCTGCGGCGGGGGTATTTTTAGGCTTGTTTTGTTTTGCCTAAAAATAGGCTGTTTATGTAATAGCTGAATTTTCTTGACTTTTGTCTATTGCATTTGTTGTAAATGTTGAAGGACAATAAAACGTTTCTGATTTCTGATTTCTGATTTCTGATACAGTAGGTAACTAACAGCACTGGGCAGTAACTGTGGCACTGGGCAGTAACTGTGGCACTGGGCAGTAAATTGTATTAATCTGTTATGTCGTAAACATTTATAAATATAGATTGCTGTTGAAGCTTTCAACCCAAAAGAATGTTCCAGATTATAAAGATTTAACATATCTTTATAACGGCTACATCAATAAAAAGACACATACCACTTTATATATTTTTAATGCTGATATCTTTGCGTTTCAACTTTACATTAATACTACAAAGGAATTTGCTTGGGGAGGGCCTTTCCATATTTGGGGGAGGGTGAGGTCCTAAGAGGCGGGGCTTCGCCTCCGTGGATGGAATGAGACTCCTAACGCTGGTAGAGCTGAGGATTATAAGGGTTAATCTGGGACTGTGGGTGAACTGGGACTAATTAGGTTACGGGCGAAATAAAACTCGGGCGGAATAGGACTACACGGATAGACCAGTAGGTCCATTGTGAGGGGCATTTGAGGTTAAGAAAAGTAGATGTTAGAAACATACTTGCTGTGTCGTTTGATGTTTCTGAGTACGTGAGACTAGTGTTCCAGTTGGATTCTCAGGTAGATGAGTTGTAGAGTTGGGAGAAAGGTTCTCAATATGTCCGTTTGTCGGATGGTAAGAAATATCTACGGAGTAAGAACTAGATTGTTGAATTTCAGGTTGAGCCCTGCAAAACAACATCAAATAGATAAATATAAAAGTAACAACATATACATTTCAGGCTAGGATTTTAGTTATATTAGCTGTAAATGAGTTTTTAATCATCAAGATTTAAGAAAAAAAAATAGCTATTTACTGACAACCTTTTTTTTATATTTGAGAATCAAAAATCCAGTTGAGTGGAGGCCTAAGGAATATTTAAATGGTGACAAACACATCAAAGTTTGAGATAATCTACAAGGTCCATCTTTTCATTTAGTTAATTGGTTTAGGCCTAATAGATTTTTTTTACAATTACACTAAGATGAAACTGTTTTTCAATGAATTTGTTAGAATTTTGTCAAAATGTTTAGTTTCTTGGGTGATATAAGGGGCATTTAAATTGGCTTAGGAGAGTAAAATATTAAAATTACGTTAATCCTTGTATTACTAGTTTCCGGGGTATTTTTATAACAATTTGTTTTGAGTAAAAACTACTGTATATGCCAAAATCTTATACATATATTTAAAATTGGCGTCTTCAAGTAAACAGCTGTTATAAAACTCTTTAAGGGTTGACTAAAATAAATAAACAGTTTCAACGAGGTTGATAAATTAGGCAAGCTATTTGAGATGTACCTCTTTCCTAAAAGAATCAAATATGCTCTACAAAATCATTTGGAGGAAAATACTTATTCAAAAACAAAACATACAACTCAATTTTAAACTAGTGGGCTTTAGTTTTAATACAACATGAAAATTAAACCCAACCATATTATAAATTGTAAACTGATTAAAATGTATGTGATTCAAATTAATCTCAACTCCCAGTTTATTTTCCTAGGACCATCTTGGTGTAAATAATGTGACAGAAAAGAACAAACAAATCCACTCTTCCCTACTTATCAAACAGGATGTGTTTTTGTGTCATTAGTGATGATTGACAAAACTATTTCCAACCTCATAAGTCAAACAGCTGTGGCATTCCAGATGGATAAGTTACTATGGTGTATATGAAAATAAACAACTAATTTCATATAAGTTTAATATTGTGTTTTTATAACTGACTCCATTCTGTACAAAATGTGCAATATGAATAAAGTTATTTTGATTGATTGATTGATTGATATACACATTTAGCTACAGATGTAATACATGTAATTTAGGTAACTGACTTGAGAAAAATTGTTAGTTTTTAAAATTAGGTTTCGAACTTTGTGTTTTGAGTAAAGCAAAGTAAATTGGCCAGTTAAACTTATGGTGCAGTTTTTTTTACTTGTGAATAACGAATAGAAATTCTAACGATTAGCGATATTCGTTAGTTTTTCGGCTAACTTCTATCATATTCGTAGTTTTTAAAAAACACTGGAAATAACTTCTACTAATTTAGGTTAGTTGAGGCTTCCTTGATACGTAAAATCGCGGTTAATCAACCACGAATAATACTATTGAGTGTATTGAAATACAATAGTATTAAATTATGGTAAGTTACATAACAGAATGATATATTTGACAGAAATCACAATGAATAACACACGTATTTGATCACAATGACACTTGTTAATACAAAGAAGATTTAGTCTTTAAGATCAGATAAAATATTTACAAGACACAAACTACCGTGAATTAATTTCTTTGATAATAATCTGAAACAGTTTTCAGTTTTGAACAAAGAATTTTTTTTACTCTAATTTAATGTTTTGTTACACAATTGTGTCTGCAATAATTGTAGCATTGTATTGAAACTGGGTAAGAGGGGATGGTCTATGATCTTGAGTGGGCCTGGGCCTGGCTGGTGACAATGAGTTATTATTTATTGGTATGTTTACATCCTAACTGCCCTTCCTATTCAGAAAGAGACACTGCGGTTTCAAAAACATTGACTTAGTTTATAAACATTGACTTGTGTTGGTAATTAAGACCGTCTGTCACATTTGATTTCACTTATTTTTCCTGGAACATGTCCCGGTTGAGTGTACATGCTTAAAGCTTTCTTAGTTGTTATATTTTAGTGATAGTTAAGTAATAGTTTTAATAAGTTATTAAGGTAATGTGACAATGTTTAGTTATTAATAACACAATTAGTTACCAAGATGTGTCATTATTCAATTTTCATATGAAATCCTTTAAAACAACTGCCCTACAAACAACAAACATCTCCGAAAACTAACATTATTTCCTATCAGTTAGTTTTTTTTAACAAACTAATAACTTCCATCAGTTACTTTTTATGGGACTCACTAATAACTTCAAACTAGTTAGAATATTTGACTAACTTTCTTAACTGTGGTTTTATAGTACATGACAGTGAGTAGGGTATGTAAAAAAAGAAAGTACACACAAAAACCAATAAATTTATATTTCACTTGCAAGCTGGGCATGGAGGAGTTGAAAAAACTAAAACAATGTAGACCTAAAGGTGGTTATTTTTAATCAAGCTTCCTGGAAATTTGAAATGTCATGATAAAAGCACTCATCAATGTTTAAAAATGCTAAACGTTGAATAAAATACTAATTATAAACCTTGGAATTGGAGAAATATTTGTTAACTATGGAACATTTTTATTTTTATAGATCAAGTTTCTTTTCAGGCTAAATTGTATTCAAAAATCTAACTGTGTCTATAAGAGATTTTTAAGTGTTTCCACAGTGAGATTTTAAGTTGTTAAGAGTCAAAAGTGTGGAAATCTATTACATTAATTTTTATAGTAATCTTACTATAGACATCCCACGAACAAAACAACCTGCGCAGAAACAAAAAGAGTTATGGCTTACCCTTCAAACCTGCGCTGCTCGAAATGGCCCAGGGTTTTTTTGTTTCTGGAATGTCTATACCAACAAAACTAAAATATAGATTTGTAATAACAAAATAAACACTTACGTAAAATGAGGCAGCTCTTGGGGTGTTTCCTGAAGAACCCTTCTGAAAACGAGTAATAAAATAAGGACATTTTAAATTTCACAACACAATATTACAATATACCCTAGGAATAAAATATTCAACCCTTTTTGATATACAACAGTAACTGCCTTTATTAAAAATATTTTAGAAACATCTGAAGATCAACTATTTTGTTTATTATTGTATTTATATAAAACAATTAAAACATATTTAATTTTAGGTTTCCATATATTTGATTACATTTTTACAGGGTTTTCTTGCATGCTTAGAACTCAAAGAGGTTTTCGAGGTTACATAGCATTTAGTTTGTTGTTTTTACTTATCTATTTTAAATAATCAAACAATGGTTTTGAATTAAATTTAGGCCTACTCATGCTTATCTAATCAGTGACGCAGGCATGCATGCTGAAGCTTCAAAAACGATGTATTCCTGATAATTGGTTGATATAAATAGTAATGTAGTAATTAACATTAAGTAAAAGTAATTACAAATTGTAAAACATTAAAAAAACAGTAAATAAATGATTACCAGCTACATGAAGTGTTTTTTTTTTAAATATAATTTTAAAGATTATTCAATGAACAGTTTTTTTACTATTGGTGAATAACACCTAAACATATACAACTCAATACGTTGTAAAATGATGCTGATACTACAAAGCATCTGTTTCATTCAGTAGTAATGCTTTGATTTTAAGTAAATTAGTTAATTGAATTTTCAGTACTTGTTAAAGTAAAAGAGATAAAATTTATAGGAATTTAAACTCACTGAGACACTTTTAGAGATAAATTAGTTGTTGAGACATACAAACTTTGTGTTTTGGAACACTATTCGTCATTAAAATTTGCACTTGAAATTTTAATCTTACAACAAAATCACATTAGTTTTGGGAATTTTTTGAGTTAGCCAGAATTGAAACATTCACAAATTAAAGAATTTTTTTACTTTTGATAAAGACATGCATAAAATCTGAAAATATCCCAAAGCAAAAGTTATAGGATGGTTTGTAGCTATATTAGACTGGGTTGAGTATTATTTATACTGGATGTACGGCAAGTTGACAATAGTTTAGTGATAATAGAGGGAGTAGACTGGATCCACCTGCCATTAACTGGGCAGTGGACTTAGTGGGAACCATTGTGGATTTGAACTAGGCCTGTATAGGCCGACACTATCTATTATTTTAAAAATTGAATAATGAATAGGGTAAATGGAAAGTAGCACTGAAACAATGAAAAATAAACTGTTAGAAATGTTCTTATGATCCTAATCAGAAAAAATAATTTAATATAAAAAAAATGTATAAAAATTAAGTATCCAAATTAATTTGGTAGGATTTTTAAAGCAGTAATCTTGACAATATTAATATATTGGTATGTACACACAGGAAAGACAAAAGTCTGTAAGAATCCTCCTGTGTTATATGAGTAACATAGATATTATTTATGATTTCCATAAAAAGAACTTTAAACAGTGGTAAATAACACGTAAATTACCAAAAACATAAATTATTTTTAAATAAATCAAAATGTAAAAATGTTGTTTAAGTTGCCTTCTGCATATACAATGATCTTAAGAGTTACAATTTTAAGTAATTATTTAATAATTACTTTTTTTCTTAAAAATTTTAATTTATTGAAATTAATTAATTAGGCTAAGTTAGATAAATTGGTATATCCTTAAATTTTTATGGAAAACCATCTTAACTATTGCATTAAAAAAATTGGAATTTAATCTATTTATTGGAAAAGCAACTTTATACGACGATAAGATTTTACAAGTAAAAACCATATGCTAATGAACGTAAAAAAATAGCTCTTAAAATAAAGCAGGCAAGCTTATTATGCAGGTGTGTACATGCATGCTGTAGGAATAGGAAAAATACTTGTATACCACACAAACAAACAAACCAGTAAAGCTAGGGTCTCGCCTCAACAAGTCATTGAAATTTGAATCTTTATTGCTAGGCTGATAATTCCATTACATCACAAAACCTCTCCTGTTGAATCAAAGGAAAATACAAGCTCTGTTCAGTTGTTCAGTAAAGCAAAGAATACCGAGGAGTTAATGTCAGGGTTGGTACGGTAGTAAATTATACTTCCAAACCATGTAGTGATATGTTTTGGATTCAATCCCTATTGTTTTTGATAAGTTGATAAAATGAAGTTTTGTTTGAATATAAATGTTTGAAAGTAATAATTAAAATAACTTAAACGATTCACTCACTTAATTTCAATTCTTTATTTACATTGTAATACTTGTAGTAGATGTTTTGGTTCTTGATAACATATGTTTATATTTCTTCTTTGTACAGTATATTATAAAAGTGTATTGGGGTTATATTGATTGGGCCTTAACACCTATCTAAAACTCATCATTTATATATAGGACTATTCTCGAATCTTGCTGTCATCGATATATTCCTCTGTCAGGCCTATGTGGATGGGCAAAAGCAAAATAAAAAAATCTGTTTAAAAACTTACTAAATTTAGATTTTTGTAAACTAACGAAGGATTGAAAATATCTTATAAGCATCAAAAATGGTTGCGATTGTCATAAATTACAGTGGAAAATGCTATTAGGACTTCCTTGTTTCTATAGCCTCTTTTATTGAACTATTTAACCAGTGTGGGTAGTTAAATATAGTTTTGAAAGATTAATGCGCCCAAAAGTGGCAACAAAGCATCACAGTGTGAGAATAGGCACAATGATGTGTATAGCGTAGCTCTATCAATACCAATTTCCCCGTCCCAATCCTTGGGGTCCTTCATGTTGACAACGCCAGTTCCCTATTGGCCGGTCGCCACTAATCACCCTATGGTTTGCTATAACCATTGATTTGTACTGTACTCTCAACAAGTTGATTAGTCACCGTAAACTACTACACAATGTGTAAGCACTATATTGTTTTTACATTTTTCATATTATTTTCCAACAAAGTTGTCAACTGACAGAGTGGCTTTCCATTTTAAAGCCTATACTTTATGAAACTTATTTAATCCTTTCATGTTCAAATTATCCAAGTTCCACTGTACAGTAGACTCCCTCTTATTCGGACTCCTCGGGACCGAGACCAGTCCGGATAACGGTTTTTCCAGTTGAACCGACCTCACCAAAATCTCATTAAAACGGACCGTTTAAATGCATACTCTATACAGTATTTGACTTAAAATTAGGAGAGCATTGTATTTAGACACGTAATCACTGGTCTCAAATCTTTCCCACAAGAACAGTCATTTCAGCACCACCCAATTCCTGCCGATCTAGTCTGGTTAAACCGATGTGCTGATAAAAATTATCCGGATAAAGAGATGTCACTTCTACCGAGTGTGGTCCGGTTAAACCAATGTCCGGTTAAAAGGTGTCCGGATAAGAGGGAGTCTATTGTATCACAATTTGGCTAACCTATAGGTAATGCATCCCTTCTGTTAAATTTGGTTGTGTTTCGGTGTATTTTCAATAAAGTTGTTCAATCAACTGGGGTTTTCAATTCCAACCATGTATTACTTAACTTATTAAATTTGAATTTTTGGACAGTTTAATTGTTGTTTGTGATTCTTTGAGCTAAAACTATCTAAATTACACTGTATCACAATTTAGATCACCTATACAATTTATGAATACTTGATGTTAAACTTGATTGAGTACCAATGCATTAAAAAAATATTCAATTGACAGAGTGGCTTTCCCATGTTTAACCCCTCATCACCTAACTTACTTAATTCAACCTTGTTAATATACATTTTTTACTGGTACCTCCAAGTTCAAATTATTCAATCTCCACTGTATCTGATTTTTTTAGAGTATTAAGGCGAGCTGAGGCGAGTCAAGCTTGGATCTACAGAGAGGTATGTGCGGGTGCGGGTGAGGGTGTGACATGCGGGTGTGGGTGTGACGGGTACCTCTGAGTTATCTCCGTGCGAGTGACGCTGTGTTCCTGACGCTGCTCTATCCGCCTGTTCACCAGGCTGGGGTCAAGCAAAGCATTACACGAACATTCACTCTAGTTTTCTTAGCCCTAACCTAACTTATATTGACGGCTGTTTCCTTGTCAATAGGTTACATTAACTTTTGTAGGCCAATGAATAAAGCTATGATCCTTTACTGTTTAGTCTGATTTACGATTTACGTCTCACGATATGACTTTTTAAATGATTCATTTTTCCAAAAAAAGTTACGATAAATCAATACTTATGATTAATATAAATCCTTTTAATCTATTATTTTCTCATTTTTATTGGTCAGCCTATTTAAGGATTAATTTGTGTGGATTGATACAAATTTTATAGGTGTATTATTAAAGGCACAAAATAGTTGAACAATAATAAATTAAAAATACGATACCTGAAAAACTTAACAGTTTTATTTGATTAAGTATATTTTGCAGAACCGTTTGTTTAAAACACTTCAACTGCATCTAATTGAATACAAGACACATTGAAACATTGCAATTAATTTTGGAAATTGTCTCTTCTCAAGGAAACAGCCATATTTCAGTTACTTATTTTATTCCATGCTCTATATTAATTTTTTTATTTTTCTTGACTAATTTTACTTTTATCCAATTAGTCTCTTTTTAGTCAGTTAGCAATTTTAGATAAAAATGTAGTTTGTATTATTGTTTTATCGATTAATTAAAAATGCATTCAACTACATGAGAATAAACTAGTAGGTATTACTTTAGAATATGATTACTACTTGGTATTGCATTAGTACTTATTAAAATTAAATCATTACTTCTAAACCATAAAACTAGATGTATGCTAGGTATGAAGTGTAAATGAGATTACTAGTAAAATTACTATTTACATGGTGATGAAATTACTGTTTTTATGGTATTTTTATAGCCTATAAATATAGAACCTAGTTTAGTTTAATTAACTGAAATATATTTTGATTGGTGAAATATATTTTTAAAAGTAAAACTAGTGCAAAGTCATATGTTACAAAGCTGTTTAAATATTGCTTATTGGAAACTGTCCACCGTATTGCCTATAAATTATCCACACTTTTAATTTAATCAAAACTTATTAGGAGTTTGACGTAAACAGGCTATCAGCAACAGCAAAACGGTTTAGGAAACTTATTAACTTAAAACATTTATTAACGGTACATTTTTTTAATCCGGTTCAGACATGAACACAAAACACAAAACATGAAAAGCAAGTTAGAGTGCTTTTCGACACAAACAAAAGTTTGAACAGTGCAGTTGTAGGAAATAATAATTGTTCAAGTGCTAAACTATCCAATAAATACATTCATAATGTTTATTACATCTTTTATAAAAACGGGTAGATTTATGATTCGTACCATATGGTAAAATAAAGATTGTTTGTATTTGAAGAACAATTAATATATGACTTAAGTTAGTTAAAAGGAATTGCAATCAGTGGTGGTACCAAGGGGGGGGGGGGATATAGGGGCTAAAGCCCCACCCCCCCCCCCCCATTGTACCCTTGAAATACAAATTTAAACATATATTTCGTCATAACATGAACATAACACACATACTTATGTTTCATATGTTTAAACATTTTTAGAGAAAAACTATTTTTTTAGACCGTTAATAACTAGGCTAATGCAATTTTGTTTTATTTCTGAATAAAAGGTTGTACATAAAGACATTCTTTGCTTATTCATTTATGGTTTACACAATTTTCCGTTAACAGTAGCCACAGAATCCTGTCAAAGCTTAATTTTGCACGTACATTTTATGTTTGATAGGACATTATTGCTTGAAAAAGTGTGAATTTATATTGCTATAACAGAACAGGAAGTGAATTGACTGATATACTTGCTGTATAATATTTAAGATTTTTGGAAGTTGGATGTTCAAAAATAACTTTTCCAATGACAGGACAGCCTACCAATTACATTACGCCTATTGTCTGAACCAAAAGGTTGAAATGGGATTGGGATAGGTCGAACAAACTGAACGCTAGACACATTACAAAACCCGAGGGCTAGAATTATTACAGGGCTTTGAATATGACAAACTATTCCAGGTCTCTAACTGAGTGGAAGGTTTTTAGTAAACTGTCATAACTGAGTGTGTAAACAAATTTTCCTCCTTTCTACCTCAAAATAAAATAAACTAATTATTTTCAGTACCGTACACATAATCAATATAATCTACAATTAAATCTTATAAGCCTTTTTTAAAGCCACTAGGCAAAACTGATACAAAAAGGGTACATTTTTCACCATTTAAGTCTACTATCCTGTAAATCAAAGGATTCAAGTGTGACGCCAGTTCACATCACTTTAAAATCTCTCTTTTCCTGTGGCACCAATTAAGATTCCCAATAATGTGGGACATGGATGTTTCAAACATTCTAATACATCAAATTAATTTTTTTAATGTGTCTTCTGCAGGAAAAGTGTGTGTTGCTGCCTGCTGGTTAGCTTCTCAGACTTCAAGGGCGGACAAGAGAAAGGGTTTGATTCCTGGCATATCCACAACACATACTGCTAAGTCCACTATCTTTAAAAAGTGTTTCTAATATCTAGTTCACAAATGCCACTGGCTTAGAAAGAAAACTGCATTTATTTAGTCTGCTTGCAGTATTCAAACAGAGAGTCCAAAGTAAAAACATCGTCTTATAATTACTTACTGTTTCTTAGAGCTGTGAAACAGCTAACTTGTTAAACAAATAAACTGATTTTGTAGACCGATTCCAAGTCAGTGTTTAAATGTTGGAGATAAGTGAGTTTGTTTAGAATGAAAACTGACCAAGCTCTTGCAGAGTTATCAGTGGCTACTGTAACCTATTGGAGGTTTCTCTTGTACTTTAGTAGCCTACCAGTACCATTCAAAAAGCAAAAAGTTTCTTACTTATTCTGTTATTGAGGTTAGAAATTGTGTTTCCGAAGCATTTTTGAGGTTGAGAAACAACTTCCAGGATTTTTTTTTAATATTAAGATTCTGGAATATGATAACAGATTTCACATAAGGCCTATTTTAAATTATTAGGCCTAACTAAGCATTGAATGGGCTACAACATTGAGCGTTAAGTTTAAATGTTTAATAATTGACCATTACAGTTTATATTCCTTAAAATATTATCCGTACAAGAAAAATTAATAAATTTTTTTTTATAAAGATCATGCAAAATGTATTTAAGTTCATAATATGGACAATGAAAAATGTAGACTTTATTGTTGAAAATAATGTTCAAGAGTTTAAATTTTTTATGTCTTAGAACTAGCTAACTTAAGAACTGTTGTAAGAATGTCGTATAATTGTTTGGTGAAAACTAGTAAGAAACATTATGACTAGGCTATGTTCTCTAAAAATATAATTAATACTACTGGGTCTAGAGCATTTCTTTGTGAAAAATGGAAGCTTCAAATCATAATTTCATTTTTTGCTCAGATCGCTACAACCAAAAATTCATACAATGCATAGGCCTAAAAACAATTAGGCCTATGGTATTTAAAGGTAAAACGTGTCAACATTATTTTCAACAATCGTATACAAAGACAACGAACATGAGAGAAACACTACTTACAGACAGGAATCTACCATTTGATTGCTGGTCATCGCGACTTTGATGTTCGGGACTGTTATACTGTCAGCACCTGTACAACATTTCCATCACCACCCTACCACTTGAACCCCACATGCAAGTGTAAAGCTCTCAGTACCCCCAAAGCAGAATTACGGGTGACAGTGCGACATTATTGCAGAAAGACGGCTAGAGTTGCAGAAAGACGGCTAGAGTTGCAGAAAGCCCAGTTTTTTTTATGAAAAATTCTTTATTTTCACAGGCAAAGTTAGGGCCTTCCTCTCTTACATTTAACCTGTATAGGTTTCTGCAAAAATGCTACATAACAAGCTAATAAAATTGTTTTTTTGCAGAATATATTTCTGTGAAAGTCCACAACTTTACTTTCTGCAGAAAAATTCTCCCTTTCTGCAAACAGTAACGCTTGCTACAAAACGTCATGCAATACATAAACGAAAGCTGCAACATTAATACTGTATTCAGTACATCGATCGTGAAGAAGAACGCATAGAATAACCGAATTACCAAAGCAATTCAATGCAATAACAGTAGGCGTATTCAAACTGATACGAGCGTTTGAAAACTTATGTATTTCCAAATATTAATTAAAACTAACACACACACCTCGGTTCATTTACACGCAACTTGGACCAAGTAAGGCCGGAGAACATTTTTGGATTTTTCCAAGTCCGTTTCAGAAAGTTAAAAAATGTTCTACTTTGGGGCTCAGTACAGGGTAAATTATGGTTAATTATTTTTTTAAACCTGATAAGGAAGTAAGAAATTTTGGGAAAAATGGAATGTTTTATAAGTAGCCTATAATAAGCTTTTGATGTAACAGATTAGAAACACATTAGGTTCAAACTGTTAGCAGAAAAAATGTAAGAAGTAAGGTTATATATTGTGAATCAACTGCAAGTAAAAACATTGAACTGAAGCATCAAAAGTATTCCAATTCACATTAGAATCTAGTTTTTAGTTTATAGGGCACTTCTGTGCTCCTCCCAGTTAAAAAATGCTGTTAAAAATAAAAAATTCAAAATCCTTGTCAAATAACAAATTTCACGCCATGCTACATCATTCCGATTTTATTTTCCATTTTTCCAACAATAAATCTTCAACAATTTTTGACATGGACATGATTTGAACAGCAAAAATAACTTTTCAAACTAATATGAAAGCTAGTACAGGCTAGTAAAACTTGTAACCTTTTTCCATAGTCACATGAAGTTATACAAAAGCATTAAAGCGTAAGAAAGCATTTTATTGAAGGTAAGGAGGAAATGATTCAAACAAAGCAGATTGCAAAAGAAGTTGTGAGAAAAGAAGGCAAATGCAAAGTTTCTTTGTTTTGGCTCTGGCCACATTGTTGGTTTATGTTTTATATCCACAAATATCCAAAGTATTGTAAAAGTTTAGTAAAACTTAGAATGCAATTGTGATATCATCAGTTACAGCTCGTGACATCTAAGCTGACACTTGGCCGATCGCTACTAGTACCTATTTCAAAAACATTATGTTCCGTCATGCGGGTTGCATCAACTAACTGTCCTCGCGACCCATATGAAGGCGCTCAAGTACATAATACAAGGGGAGTCAACCCCGTGAGGTAGAGGAAATGTTTTCAGTCCGGTATTTTCCCTACCTACCTCCACTCTCCTCCCGCATACACTGCCCGCGCTAGGCCAAGTGCCAGCTTAGGTGTCACGAGCTGTACCTATTCCAAGGAGAAGGTTTTTTTCTCAGATATGCTGACTCAAACATTGATCAATGCCAATTACCAAGTTTTAAGAAATTGGCTGACTAAACGCTAATATCCATACATGACCACAATGATAACACTCCCGAATAACATGATCGCCCGAATGATCCCGAATAACAAAAACGCTACATTATGTTTGTTAACAAATGGATTTACAAAGGTTATAGACAATGTTAAGGATAAAATTTCCATTTCAGGATGGTGCAGACTACATGAGTGTTTGAAAACTAGGGTTGTAAACTAAATTAGGCCTATGTGTAGTCTACAATAAAGTCAACATTACATTCTAGGTTGAAGTAAGTTAACAGAAAATGGTATATTGTTATCAATTTACTAAATTTCATTTTGTAACTGTAACTCACTAGGCAAAAGTCAAAGTGAAATACTGTAAGTAATCAACAGTGTTATCCCAAGCACATGTGTTGGTAAAGATGATTTGAACTTACCATTGTGAACTTCACTGTGAAATCTTCAGTGGCATTCTTTATTCTGACAAAACAACAAGTAACTTGATTGAAAAATGTTCTTCATGCCTTACGTCAGTCGTGGTGGATCCTGGAAAGAAACACATCTTGGAAACATTTCGGGATGAGAAATTTATTTTAAGTTCAATGTTTATTATAGTGTAGCCTATTGTCTTAATTAGTGTAACTGACCAGAAATAATTATGTTAATTTACGCTGTTAAAGTTAAACAATTAAGTTTTATGTGATGAGTCAGAGGCTCAGTCGGTAACTTAGCACAACAGACTTCAAATCTGTAAATATTAATGACATGGATTCAGATCCTGGTAGGCCTACCTTCCACTACAGTTGTAGTACAGTTCAATCTAGTACTGTGCTGACTCATCCTTAGCTTTGCTGGATACGTTCCCCACGCACAGGCCTAAGGACTATCTGGATGGGCAAATGTAAGCCTATGGTATAGGGCTAGAAATATCAAAGAAGGTGGCAACTAAAGATAAAATGGGGAGCATATAAGAAAATAAATTACTTAAATTAAATGAATTAAAATGGGTAGTCTTTTTCTGAACTAGAGCCTAAATGGACCCTTTTGTACTTGAGCACTAGTTTAATTAGGCTAGTTATTAATACTGTAAAAGGGAGTCAAAAAGACATTTACCCTGTGTCATGAACAATCTTTTTCATCATACTGTGCCATTTTATAAGCTAGTTAACTAGCCAAACGCAAATTTTGTGTTTTATTAAACCTTTAAACACCCCAATGCCCCCAAAATAGTCTCATCCATAATTATTTGGCATTGCCTTGCTCCCAAAATAGTCTCGACAAAAACATCTTTTAAAACTTACGGTAGCCTTACTGTTTTTTTTTTTTTTTAGGAAAAAATTCAGTAAGAAATAAAATCAGGCCTACAGTAGTAAAAAAAATGTTGTCCTCGACATCTTGATAACTAAGATGAAGTGTTAAATATAGATTCATAGGTTTCAAGAACTTTCTTGTAAAACAAGGTTAACTTAGGCCAATAAAATAAGTTCATGATAGGAATAAAGAGCTTTACCGAAGCATATTTTTTTCACTTAAACAACATATTGTATAACCTACGTTGATCATCAAAAGGAGCACTTATGAGTGACTCATAATGAATCATAATGAATGACATAATGAAGAACACTTGAGATAGGCAAACTAAATTTAACATTGAGTAACTCATGACACATTGTAACTTACTAAGCTAGACAGTTATGATTGAACAGTGATTAATTTTCATGTAACACTTCAACTCTTTAAGTAAGGTCTAGGTTTCAGTAAAAAGAAACCCAATACGGTAGCTTGTATCCCTCACATTATCCTAATTCATATTTCTCTGGCTTAGATTGATAGTTTTTAGGAATAGGATACCGGTGCATGTTTTTTTTTTTTTATATGTTTGTTAAAGTTGTTTTGTTAAATATGTTGTTTAAATAGGCCTATATCAGAAATCAGAAATCTGAAACGTTTTATTGTCCTCCAACATTTGATAATATAACGTTGATTTATATTATGTATAAGCACAGGTTCTATTTTATGAATGATTACAAGGAGTTACTATGCCTCTTTATGTTTCCTAAATGATTTATCAAGTTTTTTGTTTTGAAATCACATATAGAGTTCAGAAATAACATGTTTTGCATAACTTAGACTAGGAGTAATGTTTTCAAGAATAGGCTCCTTTTATTTATCTTAGTTTAATAGCTGAGCAAATTATTAGCATTATTTCAGTATGTAGGGCCTACATAGACAGCTGAAGTCATATAATACCTCCGACACAGCAAACGTGCAGACAAAGCGAATTTCCATTTACCTTACTGGATTTCTACAAAATATTCCCCAAAAATTAATCAAACTTAGTAGAAACACTTTTATTTATTTCCTGACAAAAAGTTAATGGACAAAATTAGCAGGCCTAAGAGTTTGATTTTAAATTAAGTTAACTTATGTCATGACAGTTTGTCTGAGAATATGTAGGCCTACTCAACTTGCAGTTTCACAGTATCACATTGCATGCACGCTCGCACGAGTGGAGTGGTTGTGCGAGCAAACAAATAGTTCAGAAAAACAAGGAAACAAATTAAAATTTGCTCAGCGTGATAATACTACACACTCCAACTCGTGTGAGCTGTTACTCGCATCACCCGATTCATGCAACTAGCCTAAATTTATTTGTTTTTTAAGCGAGTACGTGCTCGCAGTTTGTAGTATTTTGGTTTCCGATTTTTTTTTTTAAAGTGGATGAACTTTAAATTGAGTTGGTTTATGCTATTGGGACGAAAGTGAAAAGAAACATTCTTTAGAACAGAAGAATAGAAGTTAAACATTATTCCGTCTGTCTCAAAAGATCTGGAAAAATTAGATGGTACAGTATTCTCCTGCTACTTCTACGCCACCGAAGTAATCGTTCATCCATTCTTCCCTAAATGGTTCACCTCCCACTACTTAGAACTTCAAAACACTACTTTTCCATCACAAAAAGTTAATCATCACATGATCTTTTACATCAGCCACTGACTAAATAGCCAACTATATGTGAGTAGCTCCTAGTACCGTAATAACACCCCAACTCGTGCGAGCTCGCGTTACTTAATGCACGTGCGAGCATGTGATCATAGCCTAAGAGTTGAGCAGTAAGAAAACTACTGGTAGGCATAGTATTTTTAATTTCTCTTTCTTAATGTCAACGTAATTTTATATTAGTGTAAAGTGGCTATGCCGTTGGGGAAAAAATAAATAGCCTAAATACCAGTAGCCTACTGGTGACAGTACCTATATAAGTTTAAAGCATTATAATCAAATTAATAACTTAATCTTATTTTTATTTGGTTTCATGGGAATTATTAAATTAGGCCCTATAGGCAATTGAAATTGAAATACACTAAGATGTATTTAGGGCCTAAGTAAGTTAATAGGTACCGGTAATTAAATTAGCAACTTTCAATCAAATGAAATATTTTAACTAGAACGAAAAAAATCGGGTTAACCCTTTGGATCCCAAGGGCCGATTACATCGGCTCTGCCAATAGGTTTTAAAATGCCCACATGCCGATCCGATCGGCTTTGTAATTAGCCGTGAAAAGACCCGAGGGCCGATGAGATCGGCCTAGCAACAAGACACGGAAAAACCCAAGGGCCGATGTCATCGGCTTTTAGTATTTGTTATGCAATTCTGTTAATTTTCGTAAAAAATAATACATCAAAGGACAGATAAAGACATTGTCTGTGGAAATATTTGCAGAAAACATAAATATAATATTTTATATAGCTAGTGATTTTTTATTTTATTTTATCTGCTACCAAGAGCCGAGAGTCGACGAAATTTACGTGGCATCACGCTTTGCTTGACAGTTTCCCGCCGACTGTACTGTTGTTGTTTAAACGTCATAATATAAAATACAATAATTTAGTAAACAAATAAAAGTAAAAATATAAATAAATAAATAAATATTCTCATTTAGTGATTACACAACAACTTTCACCTTCAGAGCTGTTATATAATGAATGTGTAAAACTATTCTTCCTGCGTTAGTGTTTTAGCGCCGATTTGCTTCTTTTGGCGCATTTTCCATCAACTTCACTGTTGTTGTTTGCACGTGATTATATAAAACACATCAATTTAGTAAAAAAATAACTATAGGCCTAAGTAAAAATAAAAATAAAGAAATAAATATTGTTATTTAGTTATTACACAACAACTTTCATCTTCGGAGCTGTTATATAATGATTCTGTAAAAACTATTCTTCCCGCGTAGTTTTTTTAGCGCAAATTTGCTTCGTTTGGCACATTTTTCTTTAGTTTCGCCCGGTCTTTCTGTGAGTGAACATCGATTTGTGCAGTTATACTCAAGCTTTCCATTTGCAATGGGAGAGAACACAGTTTGATAAATTTGCTTCTTTAAATTTACAGTATAGCCTACTATAGTATTACATATCTACCATAGCCATAATATTCTATTACTTCATCTAAACAATAGAGAAAAATAAATTTTCAAAAATTCGCAAAATAGGCTAGGCCTATATCACAAATTATTCATGAAATTAAAATCTTAAACATAACTGTAAACAACCCTACTTGGACAGTTCTCATTGTGTATCACAGTTTTTTGTTGCTGCTTAGTTCAAATTAGCTGTGTTTCCATAAATGCAAAAAATAATAGTGCCACACCCTGTTGGTAAATCTTATGACTCTTTAATGCTTTTGCATATCATAGAACTAACTTTTTTAGTTGAAACAGCTGACTAAATTCTTTAATTCCCTTTAAATATGAATACTCATAAGATTAACATGGGGAACTACAGAACCACTGGGGCCGAGCCCGAAAGGATTTTCGAGATAAGAATATGCCTATATGTTATTAGGGAATGTGAGCTATCATCATGCCAAATTTCAGCTCAATCCGTCCAGTAGTTAGCCTAATGCGCGATTAAACTTCAAACAAACTCACAAACTTTCCTTATTATAATATTAGTAAGATTAAGTTTTATCAATAGCCTAGCCGAAACAAAATTCCTATAAACAAAACATAATTGTTAGTAATCAGTCTTCAACATTTAAAGAAATTGCTCAAGCAGAGAAGGTCTTAAAAGCTTTTCCAAAGTGACATTTTCATTTAATTTATGATCTGATGAGTCATAACTTTTAACAATTAAAAACTAACTTAATCATTCAAATATAGAAGTAGAAAATAGTGGTAAGCCTGAGCTAAGCAAGCAATTTCTTCTCATTGCTAACGTAAATTTAATGGCAAATAGGCCTACCTACGTAAGTTAAACTTATTTAGTTATTTTTCCCAAGTGCTTTGGATCGTGGAATTAAATTGCTCTTTTAACTTAAGTTAACTTTTAGTATTTATCACAAGCTAACTTATGTTCTCAGAGGCTACATTTCACCTATTGATGCCACTAACCTATCCATGATATTATGTCTGGGAAAAGCATATTTGGCAAGCATCTTGCAAGTTCCAATAGGCTACTTTTGAGATATTTAGGCTAGTTATTTGTATTTATTTATTTCTACAGCAAGCAGCCAATTTGCAATTAATTGTAGCCTACAACAAAAGGCCATTGGCGGATCCAAAGGGGGGCGACCGTCCCCCCTTGGGCATACATATGTATATTTTTTACTGCATGTAAAACAGTAAACTTAGTGCATACACATTACGTAAAATAATTTGTCACACTAACTTTGGACAAAGAAATGGTATAAAACTGCCATTTTTGAGACTTTGTTTACACACATTTTTCGGGAGGGGGTCGCTCCCCCGCCCCCTGTCATTGTTCTAAATCCGCCACTGCAAAACGTAAATGATGATACACAAGTATAATTCTATTAAAATATCATCAACTTAAGTATGGAATTCAGTTAAGATTTACTGTATGACGAAAGCTGGGCCTAAGTTATAGGAACTTGATCTAAACTTTACTTTTTCCGTTACCTAATTATAAAAAGGCTTCATGCCAGCTTTAGGAGTAGGTAGTGAATATTTATAAATTATTGTGTGCTTATATATTAACACATAGACTTAATGACTAAGAAAGGTAAAATTGAATCAAAACATACCCAAATCTCTATGGCCTGGTTTTAGGTTATTTCTAGGCATATTTTACTTTAGGCCTTGAGTATACTCCTTTACTCCATTGGGAATATAGCCTTTTATAATGTAATATCAACACAACCAACACAGCCCTGGACTGAAAAGGTTACAGTATATCCAAAGTCACAGTAGGCCCAGTAATACAACTAATGCATAGGCCAGTATTCACTGTTAGGTAGGCCGTACACCTCAATAGTATGACACCAAAAGAGTACACACTGATTTAAGTAGATCTGATTAGGCCTTCTGATCCGGGCTTTTTCATTTGTAAATTCGTGTACAATAATCACACAACATCGCTAAGTTGATCGTCACGGTCCAAATGCATGTATATTTTCCACTCAAAACACAGAGTCTGACATAGCTTTCAGCTAAGTGTCAGAATAACGTTTTCTGCCTTTTGCCCACCGCCTAGGCTACGTCATCACAGGTCACTCTCATGAGACTAAATTAAAAACATAAATGAAAATTATAGTAATACTCATTGAAGATTATATTTTATGATTTTGTATTATTGATAAACTAATCAGCATGATCATATACTTTAAATAACACTTTAAAACAAATTTATAAACCTTAACACTACTTCTTCACAAGGACATACAACTCCCTCTTGCAATGCATGATGGGAAATTTGGATGAAATCGTTTTGTAGTGAGCATGAGCAATGGAATTGTCTCATAGAACATCTCGGATATAAAACTTTGTTTTGAGTGTATAATTAAGCATACATGTAATTATAAATTGTAGTTTAGTTATAAAGAGCTATTTAATTGAATGTAAACTTTATTTTGATTAACTTAACTATTTTACTGATCTCATATCAACTGAGTTGGGTTAACTTTGTACAGTATTGTGAATTCCTACAGCCTCATGAAGCATTCTCTGCATTTCTTGAAATATTTGGTAGAATTTTTTAATGAAATTTTCCCCACTGTAAATTACACCAAAAGTGCAGAAAACAAAGTTAAGCCTAGGAGGGTTGCGTCTCATAAAGCATGGTATACAGATGACCTGCGTAGGATTAAAATGTATGTGGTTCTGTACAGGGACTTGATGAATTCAGCATCATCAAATGAGGAGTTTGCTCATTGGAAACAATATATTTAAGAATAAATAGATACCATAACATGGTTGAGAAAGCTAAAAGAATTCAATGCAAGGTCTATTGAGATGGCTCACAACCCCCAGAAGGCTGCCTGGGCACTAAATTAACCAACATAGAAATTCTGCTAAGCCTAAAGTCTAATGCTAGCCCTGACGAGTTTAACAAATTCTTTGTTCAGAACATTAATGAGATTGTTGACAATATTAACCTCACTTCTCAAACTCTTGATAGCTCATCCTTATAAAGAGCTGGAAATCGGTCGGGACAAATACCTACTATGTCAACCTGGAGGCTGGTTACTCCGGAAAAAATCTGTCAAATAGTTAAGGGCTACAAAAACTCTCATAGTCCTGATGTTTATGGTGTGTCCTGCCACCTACTCAAGTCATTTATTGATGTGATTACTTTTCCTTTGGCCTGGCTCATAAATTCATACTTAAGTAAGGGAGTATTCCCGGATGAGTTAAAGATATCTAGGGCAATGCCAATTTTTAGAAAGGTGACCCCCAACTTTTGACCAACTACAGGCCTGTTGCCTTGGTTCCAGCCTTTGGTAAAATCAATGAGTCAATTCTCAACGAACAACTGGTGACATCACTTTGACGATATTATACTAAGTGCCCAACATGGTTTCCGCAAGGGACGATCAACTGTATCGGCTGTGCGGTCATTAGTTGGTCGGGTTATGGAGGCCTTTGAGGCTGGCGACTCTCTGGGACTGGTGTTTTGTGATCTAAGCAAAGCCTTTGACTGCGTTTCCCACGAGATACTTGTTAGTACTCAAACATCATGGAATAACAGGGATTGCTCTTAACACCTTGCAGTCGTATCTGAGAAACAGGAAGCAGGTTGTGGAAGTTGAAGGGCTCGCTCAGAAGAGCTTAGTTTGCGACATGGGGTTCCTCTGTGCTTGGTCCCCTTCCCTTCGTCATTCTTGTCAATGATTTAGATCTTCAGGGCCGCTCACTTTTATATGCGGATGACACTACCCTGCTGGCAAGGGAAAGGACATAGATCAAATCCGTCTGGACTCAGACAGATTACTTGACGAGGCCAAGAATTGGTTTGTGAGCAACAAGTTGCAACTCAACGATGATAAGACTCAGCGACTCATTTTGCACTTTGAAGACGACTGATGCTGGGAGCCCCTTGAAGCTCCTTGGCTTCTGTATTTATCCGAAGATGTCGTGGGGTGAACACGCGACTCAGGTCTGCCATAGGCTTTCTAGAGTCCTCTTTTTGCTGAGGAAATTGAAAAAAATCAGTGCCAGTGGATTTTTTGGTATCGGCCTATTACGCCCTGTTCCACAGTCACATCTCATATGGGCTGTTATTATGGGGACACTGTTCCAAGAGTCAGAAGATTCTGCGGATTCAGAAGAAAGCAGTGAGGCTTATTTTGACTTCGGCAGGCCACCGAGACCACAGTAAACCTCTGTTCTCCTCTCTTAACATTCTTACCATCTTTAGTCAATATATATGTACTTGACTCCGTCTGCCACGGTAAGGAGAACATTGGTGATTTTATACAGCGTGGTGCAGTACATCAGCATAACACTAGAGGAGCTATCGATCTGGACTTGCCAAGATGCAGACTGGCTAAGTCACTGGACAGCTTCCCAGTTATGGCAGTGAGACTTTTCAATAGACTCCCAATTGAAGTAAAGCAGGCGAACAATGCCCAGTTTAAAAGATTGGTAAGGGAGAAACTCCTGGTGGACCCCCTATTTGACGTAGACAAATTTATGAGGGATCCTTGGAGAGGAGCCATCCGCAATCCAAGATAGCATAGAGATGAATTGACACAGCCTATCCAGATCATCTGGTCATCGGCGACGCCAGTGGTAATTAAGGTAATTAATTGAGTAACACAGACCACTGACTAGGAATACTATAAAACTATTCTTATTTTATAATCAAACGTAGAACAAACTTTTCAAAGAATACAGGACACTCTTTTATTTATAGATAGATTGGCAAATTAGTGTGTTAAATTTAGAATTTAATAATTAAATACATTTTATATTTATATATATTACTATATTTTATTAGCATTATTTCATTATTAACGTTTGTTCTTGTTTCTGTTAGGGTTTTTTACTTTGTTACAGCTCCCTAAAAAAATCATCAGACCAACATTTCTTTTAAGGATAACTGATTGGTTATGGGTTTGCGAATATGTTTTCGTGATATTTAAATACCGCATAAAATAGGTTTACGTCGTCAATCCTTGAATAGTCTTACAAGCGACTAGTTTCGAAACTGGCGTTTCATTTTCAAGCTTTGTCGTCAAACATAAAATTATTGGAACATGATGTCGTCGTCAAAATACACAAATAATACATTTAACACGCGCAAATACATTAAATTACAGAGAGATGCGCGGTCGTGTCCGTCGTGCGTGTTATGGCCGGCCGCGCATCTCTCTGTAATTTAATGTATTTGTGCGTGTTAAATGTTGTATTTGTGTATTTTGACGACGACATCATGTTCCAATAATTTTATGTTTGACGACAAAGCTTGAAAATGAAACGCCAGTTTCGAAACTAGTCGCTTATAAGACTATTCAAGGATTGACGACGTAAAGGTGCGTAAACCTATTTTATACTGTCTTAAAATCAATCCTGGAGGCAATGCTGAATAAATTTAAATACCGGTTATTGCCGTCTCGAGAGTTTGTTGTCCCAGAACAAGAACAGCGCACAGTTTTTCTATTAAATTCTTAAGCTGGTGCTTATTCATGCCATTCGAAACATTGTTTTGACAAAACCTTGGTTATCAGATAGGCTATCATATCTTAAAATCATCGCACCCTCAAAT